GGAGACAGGACGGCGGTGCATTCAGGCGCTCGCCAGCTAGGAGGTCACCTCGCGAGCATCAAGGCGACGCGTTTAAATCAATAAAACGCTGGAGGAAATCCTCGTTGGCTTGTGATCATATTAAATGGTGAATGTCCTAAATGAATGGCCTGATTTACCAGCGTGTTCAGGAGGCTTCCAGAGCCCCCGATCCTCTCTGAACCCCCCCGACGCTTCAGACGTATACCCCGAAAAGCCCCCCCCCGTCTCTTCTGGTCGAAAGAAGTAGAGACACAAAACGAGCCCTGCAGCGGCGAGCGCCAGCAGGTGGAGGAGACGGTCTCCTGAAGGCGGAGGGACGGGAGATTCAGAGGAGGCGGAGGGGGTGGGGGGGGCGTGAGAAGGACATGGAAGAGATATCAAGAGGAGGAGGATGTGTTCTTCACTGTTCTCGGGGGTCGAATAATCAGGAAGAAAGAAAGCTTCTCGCTTCCCGTCTGTGGCCCTCAAATCATCACTAAAAGCTACATCTTCAACTCCACTCGGCGTGTTTGTCGGGAACTATTTCCAGCGGCGGATTGATACGCACTTGATGTTGAAGTATTTACACTTTAGAAGAATCTGCGTCGTGTGTCGAGATGAAAAGTGGAGCCTTTGAGCGACTCTCTGCTCTTCCACAAATGAAAACAACTCATGTCGACAAGCGGAGGCTGAAAGCTGTTCTTCACTCACAAGAAATACTGAATGAATTACGACAGAAAGCGTCAAAGCAGAAGCTTTGGACACACGAGGCTTGTTGGCGGATCAGATCTTTGTAATGTGACGTCAGGCCAACGATGCCATTCTGCTCTTTTCACGCCGACAAGAAAAATACAAAATATGTCCAGCGGTGTCCTTTAAGAGACAGGAAGACAAGTGGAGACAAAAACAAAAAACGCAGGAGGAAAAAAGGCCAAAGACATTTAGATAAAAACAGCAGAGAGAAAGAACGAGGAAAAGAGACAAAAGACTGATGGAGCAAACCAGCAGGAGGGACGAGCCGAGAGAGGACGAGAGACAAAAGGACGTGATCCCAGGACACGAGAGGGGGGGGAGGAAGGTGGAGACGAGAAGAGGCGGCTGAGTGAGCTCCTTCTAATCCCGGTTCGTTTGGGATCTGAGGAGGACCGCTGCACACCTCCCGTCCTCTCCTGGACGCTGCGTCCTCCACCAGAAACAAAGGGGTGGGTGTGTGTGTGTGTGTGTGTGATGAAGAGAAGACCAGACATCCACACTTCAAAAAGCAGCCCACATTATCCCGACTCGTAGCGCTTGAAGTCAGCAACAATCCTGATCCCCTCTTACACGCCTCGCCCCTCCTCCCCCCCCCCCACAACCTGAGGCGAGCTCCCCCAGGGGGGGGTATGGGGGGGGGGCACATGAAGGGAGACGTTTCAATTTGTCAGGATTCTCTTGGATGGGATGGTGGACGGAGGAAAGGAGCTTCTGCAGAGGGATGAATGGGCAGAGAGTCCTCAGATATCAGCAGAGGACACGCCAAGGACACGCCAAGGACACGCCGGGTCTCAGGAGGAGGACGAGCCGCTTCACACCGGAAACGTGGGACAGACGCAGAGGACTCTTTGGGTTTCACACCGACGACTCATCCTTGTTTGCATTCCAAGAGATGGTTAAGAAACGACTGATATCTTGGCTTCAAGTACGAGCGGCGCTTAACTTAGCATAAAAACCCGCTCCATCCAAAGTTAAAAAGTTAGATCATTTGTGGACTTGAGGGAATTCAGCTATTTAAACAGCTTTTAGCAGTTTGGGCATCCGTTGCTTTCCTAACAACCACGTATAGTTTGTCTTTTAATACAAAGTCACGCGCTGAAGCACATAATAAACTAACGTGCAGAACTCTTCAGCTGAATGTTCTCCTGTTGCACTCATGCGAAACATCTCAGCCGAGTGCCTTAAACGGACTAAACCCCCCCAGCTCGCGGTGCAGAAGTCGTCCTCTGCAGCAGCACGAGAAAATGAGGCTCGGTGCCCCGGAGGCAACCAGCGCTATAGACCCCCGCCAACACGGACGGGCCCATTAAACCAAGACCTCCACGACCTTGGAGGAGCCCAGAGAACGCCCACTCATCCACCTGCTCCTCCGGCAGAATGGGGCGAGAGGGGGCCGGGGGGACGATTCTGCTGTGATTTGAGATACAAATTCACAGGATTTTACAGTAGTTAATGAAAACAGAACAGAAGTCCCGCCCATTCCCGACGTCCCCCACTAGCTAGCTAGCTAGCTAACGTAGCTACATCCAGATTATGTCCTTATTTTACCTGATGCGTCCTCAGCCAGAGAGAGAAAGACCAAGACCCACTTGGATGTTTAGCCTTTGTCGTTACGGATTTTTACAGGTTTTACAAAAAACACGTTAACATTTTGGAGAAATCTTAAAGACATCCAGACCGTAAACACGACCTCGGGGCAGAAGCAACACTTTGCTCGTCCAGAGTTCTACGTAGAATAAAAAGAAAGTTGATTCAATTGGACTTTAATTAGCTGGCGTTGTGGGAATGTCGTGGAGAGGACGCCAGGAGATTAGATTATTAAACGTCGTGACATTTCGTCGCCGCGTCGTACCTCTCGGATGGCATTTGTGATATTTTAATGAAGTCATTTGTTTCCATTGTGCACACGTGCAACAAATGTCAGGGGACGTTGTGGTTTGGGTGAGCGAGGAGCACAACGGTTCTGAGCGGCTTTAATCAATGTCTTTTATGTGGTGAAGAAGCGTCGACATGACAAGTAGCGCTGATAGATTTGTGATTAAAAAGAATCAAACGACGACCGTTGGTGGTTGAACAAGAATTCTCTCCAAAACAAATCCAAAAAAAAGGATTGCAAAGAAAACTGAGCTGAAAAACATTTTTCTTTTTTGCGGTCCATGTGGAGTCAAACCGACCATGAAGCAGGGGATGCGTTAGGGCGGGACTACGCCCTGATTGACAGATATATAAAAGGTGTCCATACGTGCCCTCAGTTCATATACTTCCTGCTCACAGCTTAAAAGACGCCAGCGTCCACGGGTGGGCGCCGTCACCATGGCTACGCCTACTTCTTACAGACACACACGGAGACCTTTTGTTTCCTGAGCAACGAAACAACGTTTGTAAAGATTCACTCTGCGTCGTTGTTAAACTGAACCTCCCGTTTACAGACCTTCAGTCTCATAGTGTCGTTTCCATGGTTATGAGCGGCCATGTTGTTTTTCAGCTGGCTAAGACGAATGTTTGCACAGGAAGCGACGGATCCTTTCTGGCTTGACAATAAACTGTCCCACATTCCGGGAAAACGTCTCAGATCAAAGACACGTCCCGTCATTTTGTCCCGTTTCAACATTCTGCATCGAGGACGCAGAACTAATCATCAGCGAGGTCAGAACATCAGAAGAGGAACTCGAGAGAACCGGTTAATGGGAGTAAAATCGAAACATCTGTGGAGCGTCAGGCGACCGCCGCGGGGAATGCTGGCGTAACCACGGCGATGAGTCGGCGTCCCCAACGCGCCGAACAACGATTTTGTGGTGATTCGCGTTTCTGCTCCTTTTCTCCAGTCGACAATGAGCAGCCGTGACTCACAGCTGCAATGCATCATGGTATATTTTTAGCAGCAGAGGGTGTACGCGTCTTCTCTAATGGGTTCGTGTCTGAATGGTGGTGGAACTCTGGGGAAAACTGAAATTTACCGTTTAAATATTTGAAGTGTTACAGCTGGCGAGGTCGATTAGAAGGTCAGACAATGTTCTTCAGATCTCCACAAGGTCAAAGAGGAACTTTCAAAGTCAACTGTTGATAATTTACTGACATATCAATAAGATATTGTGTCACACAGGAAACTTGACACAGAAGGTCTGAACAGAAGTCTCCAAACTGCAATGAAATAATGATTTGTTAAAAGTTAAATGTGTTTAAATTAAAAATGTTTAAATATGACCCAAGAGTTTGATTTTCAAAACAAAAAGGTATTTGTATTTTTAGCAAAATAAAAACTAACAAATGATTTCCTACAGCATCAAAATATCCATATTTATTACGATGATTAATCATAATAATTATCCTTCAACCTCATCCAACAGTCCTGCCCTGTACATTGGGAGGCCCTGTCCCGGGGGGAGCTCCTGCGAAGTATGTGTGTGGCGATGGGGGGGGGGGGGGGGTTGTGGGGGCGTGAAACCTGGTGTGACGCAACAGCCGGCGGCGAGGGACTTTGCCCGCCTGCTAAACGCTGGCTGTCATCTCCCGTCAGGGAGACGAAACGCCTCGTTTTCTTTTTTGCGCTCTTTTCCCTCCCGCCTCGGGCCCAAAGAAGCACATCGTCTTCAATCACACGCGGGCCGCTGTGACGGGCCGCTGGAAACGCCTCGCCAGAGACACGACGGCTGCTCTCACACACGCACACACACACAAAACTTCACATTGGTGAGACAGCTCAGCTGGTATCTGTTCCCCGCCCCTTCCTCTAAGAGGTCGCTCCCTGGGCCGGCATATGTTCGTTCGGCTCTACTGTAAAACAAGTTGTTTTTCAAAGGGGTTCCAGCTGTCCGGGCGGCGAGAGACAGGGAGTGACACCTCATCATTATTGACATGCGTTTGGTTTGTATCACCCGGGTCTTGGTGATGGATAATATGGGAGTCATGGTATTTTTCCAACAGGGCTGGGACGCTACACTTTGTCTACTTGACAGATGCCTACAAAACTCACTGAACGGCCCAGAATCCGCGATATCATCTTTTTTAAAATAACTTGGATCATTAATGGCGACCTGCACTCATTCGTTGTTGTTGTTGTTTGTCTTTAATAAGTTGTCACTTTAAAGGATTTGCCCTCTTTACCCGTGAAGCAGATGGTTAAATGATAGTTTTGGGTGGGGCTGTATGAATTACTTATTTATAGACGTATACTACAGTAGACAGTTTTATTTATTATTTTTTGGTACTTTCTTACATTAAACATTAAACATTCTAATAATTAAATGCTGTTTGCAGGTGTAGTTCTAACAAGTATTTTAACGTTGGAGTCAAAAAAGGTAAATAGTCAAAAAGGTAAATCCCTATAATATTGATCATCATTATTATTGCTGAGGCGACTATACGTCGTTACCATGACAACAGGCTCCAGCCTCAGGCTACAGGAACAGTTAAACATTTGGGGAAATGAAGCTCTTTCTTGCCGGGTAGCTTAGCTTAGCATAACGGCTGGAATCCGCTAGCCCGGCTCACTGGTTAACATCTTGCACGGTGTATAAGTGGCATTAATGGGTTTTTTCGGGTTGTTGTTTCAGATTATTTCACGGGGACTAAAGGGAAGTTATTGTCGTTTCCTTCTTTTGATTGTCACTCAGCTCGGATCTTCATCTCTTCAAAGACACTCGTTCAAACACAATCCCAGCAGGAGATTGTTGCGCCACGCAAACATCCAGGGGTACGAAATGAAATGTCTGAAATCCGGAACCCCCCCCCCCCTGACATATTTGGGTGTCAAAGCGGGCGGAGCGGTGCTCTCTGAGGTCGACGTCATCGATTGAACTAAGTGCTCCGTGTGCCTCGATCAATGCGGCCTCTGATGGAGCGGCGCCGCGCTCCCTGAGGGCCGAGGGGCCGGAAACACCAGTTAATAAAAACACCAGCAGTGGAAACACCAGTTAATAAAAACACCAGCAGTGGAAACACCAGTTAATAAAAACACCAGCAGTGGAAACACCAGTTATCACGCGTCCATAGTTCAAGATCACGGATCAAAACTCATTATTTAGGTCTTTAACCTTCTACTGACAGTGAACAAGTTGTGTGAATAGTTTGATCCTCTGATAAGAACAAACGCTACGGGCTGAAGCTAAAGCTAGCTAGCTAGCTAGCATGCTACGAGTCCACGAAGACAGCGAGCTAAATAAAAATCGCTTTCATTCTTAAGCGTGAACCTTTGGAACACGGCTTTATCTAAAAGGCCAAACTAACGTAGTTAAACCAAACTCTAATGTAATCAACTAAACTATATTGTAGCCACGTAGGACTTTTTATTGCCGTTACTCGAGCCCTGTAAAGAAACCAGCGTTAAATGTATTAACTGAACTTGAGTCAACATAGACATCCTTAATTAGGGCAATAAAAAAGTATCGCCGCCGCCCCCCCCCCCCACCCCCCCAAACCCGCCCCAATTAGCCAGAAGAACAGAACCCAGACGAGGCGATTTAACTTCAACTCTAGTTTATTTCTAATTAATTTAATTTAACTTTGACCCGGACGATCGGCAGGAAGGAAGAATTCACCCAGGAGACCATTTTAAAACGGCCGAGCAACGAAACGCGGAGGCCATCGCGTATTGCGTTTGTTGACTTCAGGGTCTCCTCCTCTTCCTCCTCCTCCTCCTCATCGTTGAATTGAAATGATGAAGCCGCCATGTGCTGCTTTGCTGCTGACGATTGGAGGCTAATAAGATTAGTTTTTAATTGTCTTTGTGAACTTTTGCCACTCGAATAGAGAGTGAAAAAAAGAGAAAGCGTCCTTCGGTTTAGCAGCCGGCCAATCGGGACGCTTGTTATATGAACCAAAGCAGAACCGGCACACACTGCAGCAGCAGAATAAAGACCCTGTAATCACCCCCTCCCTCGGTGAGATCAGCCTCCAGTCCCACCAGCCAACAATTAAACCCTTTAATCACAGCCGCCTTCATCTTTTAATGCCGGTTCCGTCATTCACGGACAAACGCGACGACCTTCGCGACTCGGACCAACATCCTCCTCCACGTGCACCGGCACACAGACGTGGGGTTTAACTTTACAAGGTGACCTCCAAACACCAGACCACCCCCCCCCCCCCGTCCTGACCCCCCCCATCCACTGACAGCACAGCACTCATCTCCCCCATCAGGACCGATCCATCACCACCACCGCAGATAAGGGGGGCGGGGGGGGGGCAGAACATCCTACTGGTGTAATTAGGTAATTATAGGAAACGCATGACGGGTCCCTGTAGTTGCGTTAAGTCACAATGACAGTTTATTTATTTTTAGGCGGCTCTTTAGGACTTAAAATGCAAACAGATTGATCGGTTTTCTCTCCTCCAGTGAGTGCTGAGGACCATCAGAAGTCACGTCTACACTAGATTAATAATCCCTTAAATGAGCTGAAGCGTCTCGCTCCCTTTACCTTTTACCGCTCAGGACCGCGGCTTCGCTTGTGACCTTGTTGAAACGTTTCACGATGATCAGCACAGATTGGAGTGTTTGTGTTACACGTCTCCTCTACCTTTACTGTGGAGGATCATCAGACACTGAACTCTCTGTGCAGCCAGTTTCTCATCAGACATTCTGCTTCTGCACAAAAAGATTTAACAAAAAAAAACAGCCAGCCGACCCTCCAGAGAAACCAGCTTAAATGTGCAGCAAGAAAACAACAACAACAACAACCTTGCAGAATTTGTGCACAAATCCGTTGACAAACTGGCACCTCGTCTCGCCGTGTGAGGCCCACCAGAAAGGGAGAGACGGGGAAGACAGATTTCACACGCTGCTCAACCAATTTCATCCCGGCGCAGAGTTAATTACGACAATTAGACCTGGGAGAGCGTTCTTCAACGCGAGTGGGGTTATTACGGGGGGAACCGGCGGGAACACGGCGCCCGCAATCAGATCGTCCCGCCGGGCGCAGAAACAAGGAGAAGCATCGCGGACCGAAGCGGATGAGAACATCACACCTGCAGAGCACCTCGTGGGATTAAAGCGGATTCACTCACCGTCCTCCTTCCCGTCGCCGAAGCCCTCCGGGAGGCGCAGGGAGGCCGCCGTGGGCATCGGGCCCAGGATGGACAGCAGCGACGGGGCTTTTCTCTTCAGGACGTCCCCCTCCAGCTCCTCCTCCTCCTCCTCCACCTCCTCCTCCTGCCCCGGCTTCCTCTGCTCCAGTTTCATCAGGGCCTCCAGCGTGAGCTCGCCCAGGTCTTTGCCGAAGTGCTTGGCCACGGCCTGCAGCACGTCCTCGTCGTCCAACTCCTCGCCGCCCGCCGCCGTGGAGACGTCATCGTCGTCTCTGTGAGCGTCTGGAGGAGAAGAGGCGGCGCCGGCTTCATCTCAGAACACAGACACTGGCCTCATGATGTGGGAAACGGTCGTTGGGACCAATTACAGGAAGAAGAACCCTGTTGTGCTCCGTACCTTCTCTGGCGTAGGCGGCGTAAACTCCTCTCAGTTTGGGCCGGCAGCTCTCGATCTCTGCGTCTATTTCGTCCTGGTAGCCGAGGATCTCCTCTGAGGGACACAGCAAGTTAACACGGGACCAAACGAAGCTTCATGCATGAAGAAGAAGAAACACCTCGCGTCCATCCAGTGTGCTTTAAATCACATGTGTGTAACTCTAATTGCAATGCAGCGTGTTGGTGCTTAGGGACCTGATGTTTGGGTAATGACAAGTCTGCTGATAACTAGACAGTAAGAGGGAGAGTCCGACTACGCTGGAAAGATCACAGGACTTCTTTAGAAAACCAGCAGATCCAAACCTTCCACGTCAGTCATCCTTTTCTTCAGCTCGATCTCCAGCTGGACAAAAAGGAGACAAGCGTTTTATTCTCAGTGCAACAGGATTCAGACTCCACATGAAGTGAATACGTCTGAACCAGTAGACTTTGTTTATTCTGAGAGAAGCCAGAGGGAGAATTGATGGAGGAAACTTCTCACATCCATGAACTATTTAACAGCACGAATACATAAAGATAAGAGATATCGAACAAATCCGAACCTGATTGTATTTTATCTTCCTCAGCCCGCTGGTGAAGCAGGGCGGGTCGCACTCCTCGTCCAGGTCCATCTTCATGAACTCTTCGACGGTCAGCTGACTGCTGGGCGTGGCGTCAAACTCCGTCAGTCTAACACGGGGCGGCACGTTTAGAAATCATCCCGTCAAAAGAGAGAGAGAGTCAGGATGAACGCCGGAGCACCGCCCACCTTTTCCTCAGCGTGGTTTCCCCCACTTTCACCACGCTGACGACTTCTTTGACGGTGCGGCGGAAGTCGTGCATGTGAGCGGCGACCAGAAGAGCTAAAAAAAAATAAAATAAAAAAAATAAAACACAGAACGACACCGTGTGACAAATCGAACCACCGGGGCGGCAACGCGTCTCAGGAAAGTTCCCTTTCTCCCTCAAACGCAGCACCAACAGCAGGTCTGAGGGGCCCGTGTGCGTTAGTGTGCGTTGACCTTAAAGCCGAGCCGAGAGGCCGCACGGGAGCAGCTTGTGAAGGCGAGCGTGATGCAACGCGCCGCTGGAAGGGGAGCGGTTACATAACGTCATTAGAGCGCTGCAGAGCCCGCTGACAGATACATGCACGCTCCTGACAGCCTGCAGGACGGAAGTGACGGCTTTTAGCGCTAACATTTTATACCCGTGCTGCTCAGAAACCACTTCAGAGTCGCATGTTCTGCTCCTGCTGCAGAATCAACTCTGGGATTTGTTGCTTTTCATCCACGACCTTCGTTGTCCTTGCAGAAACATTTCTGGTTCATTAGCAGCGGCGTTTATTTTGTGTCATATTTGGGAAGAAACCTCTTCCGTCTGACTGTCCCGTCTCAAAGATTTATGACGAGGATTAATTATTCAGGCAATGCAGCAGAGGAACAAAGGGGGGGTACAAATAAACGTGCAGGAAGCCCCTCGATTCCACTTCAGGACGTTCAGCCGCTGACGCATCAGAGGGGGCATTCGGGCCGACAGCTGCTCCACAAAGACTCCAACGAGGAGCAGGAGGGGGGAGGAGAACCAAACCGGGTCGGCCTCCTGGTTCACGAGCCTGTGTTACATGGATCAGGGTCCCCACTCGTTTCTACAACAACAGGTTCCCACGTTCTTCAGTACGAACGATGACAAACTGATCCCAGAGTAACGCGCGCGCGCGCACACACACACACACACACACACACACACACACACACACACACACACACACACACACACACACACACACACACAGACGTTCAACTTATTGTGAGGCCACGGACACCAAAGACTGTCATAAAACAAACCAGTTAAAATATGGTGAACCTCACTTTGAACATTTATATGAACCTGAAGACACATTTTAGATGTCAAGGATTTCCTTGCAGTTTGTTCCCCGCTAAATTAAAACGGGAAAATGTTGAAACGATTTAACAGGAAACCTTGAAACGTAGAAACCATTTCTTTTCAAAAGCACCGCTCGAGGTGTAAAGACTGGAGAGGCGCTGCGACCCCAATTTGTAGTTTGGTTTTCAGCTCGACTCAGCGGGAGACATTTCCTCCTCAGATCTTCAGCGTGTTGCAGTTTCCACCACGTTGAAAACAAAGTGCACGCTGGATAAAACGAACGGGCGTTTAGGGCAGAACATTTGACACGGCGGACCGTACTCGACTCGTGGGGCCAGCGTGATGACCACTTCCCGCCCCCCCCCCCCAGAGACGGCGTTGGTTACCTGCGCCGCAGAGCCCCGAGGGCCTCCGGCCCGTGTGCATCCAGTCCCTCTTCATCCGCTGCACCAGCCGCATCGCCGTCATGGACACGTCGTGGTTCTTCTCCCCAAATTCCAGCAGCTGGGAGAAGCGGGGAATGTAGAGACACGGGTCTGTGGGGAGGGGGGAGACATGGGGGGGAGACACAGAGGGGGGCTTCAGATTGAGTCATCAGAAATATGAAGCGCGGTTCCTTTGGCTACAAAATGACCTTTTAAACCAGTGTTTGTCTTAATTAATCTTGTAAGTAACCAAGAAATGGACTCAAAGCTGCCAGAAGGAACCCAGCGAGGCTTCAGCTGCGCGCTGCTCATCCACGGGCACATGGAAAAAGACTCCCATCAGAACCACCTGCTTCTAAGACCAGACGGCCTGTTCCATTCCCTTTATTACTCATCCTAAAAAATGATGATTTCAGCATGCTAAGGAATCTAATTTAATACTGAAATTAGGAGGCGTTGCGTTCCACCGCACGGTTACGAGAGCGGACGGAAATATCTTTGAAGTCCGCGGCTGAGCCAGCTGGTAATAAGATCCAGGCTGACCCCCCCCCCCACCTCCTCCCAGTGTAATGATACGTCTGCAGAGCTCGCCGTCACCGCTCCAAGTTGCACCGGAGAGTCTGGAAAATAGCGGACAGGCGAGATCCCCACAGAGGGGGGAAAAAGGCCGTTTAAGGGGAATGAAATCCACCTTCACTGTCGAATACAATCAATCAGTGACGCTCAAGCGGCCCAGGAGGCATTCCGGGATGGAGCGCTGTGGTTTACTTCTTCACCCCCCCCCCCGACCTGCCTCTTCTGCTCCTGCTCTGCACATTCCCCCCAAAATGACTCAGACCACCTCCGGAGAAGAAGGGGGCTGTGAACTCGCTCCTTTTAATCACAATACGGGAGCAGGGAGGCTTGAATAGCTTTAAAAATATATATAGTTTAAAAAGGTCGTCATTGAGCTGTGGGCCCTTCCCTCAGAAACCCAAACTTCTACTGCAATGCATTCTGGGGCTGGTTATTTTTGGTGCAGAAATGGGTCTGTTTCCTTTTCCTCAGAGGAGCTTCTTGTGAGAGTTAAACACCTGACGGAGTAGTGAGGAGGTACGACATCATCGGAAATGTGGACGAGGCGTCACGTCTCTTTGGTCCGTTATGCTAATTAAGATTAAGAAGACCGCTATGAACATTTACAACAGCTCGTTTAAAACAGATTATTTAAATCTTCCGTATTTCTACACTTGTATATTCTCTTGACTTATTTCCATTTCATTAGTTTTATCAGGTTGTTTTTCCTGCTTTATGAAAATCCCTTAGAATGTCTGAAATTTGCGACAAATCTTTTACGTTTTTAAAATTCTAAATGTGCTTGTCCTTTTCGAATTAAGGTGTTGAATGAACTTCGTGGCTCTTTTACATACTATAGTTTCTGGTGTTGTTCAATTAACCGAGTGAATAACGGTTCCAAGTAGTTATAAACATGTACGACAAAAAGGTATGGCAGTATGACAATAGATATTTAGAATTTAGTTTAACAATATCAAGCTTACCTCTTCCATCAGATTTATTGAAAATCTATAAAACAAATCTGAAGTGGATTAGGTAATGAGTACTTTTACTTTTGGGTCAAGTACATTTATATGGTGTAAACAGTGTTTACACCGTAGTAGTACTACTTTTCCTTGAATAAATGATTGAACTACTTCTTCGCCGCAGTTTTGTTTGCTTGGCGTTTCTGGGTCAACTTCTCACTAATAAACTGTACTTCGAAAGTCGTTTATAAACGACCTTTTTTTATTTTTAATCTTTCCACCGGGTCTAAAATCAGCGGGACGGAGGCGGAGCGGTTGCGCCCCGTGACGCACTCTGCGGAGCCGGCCGGTGGGGAGGTGCTTCGGCTCTCCTGACGTCACCACCACGGGGGGGATCTGATTGGTCCTCAGCGCGCTGTGGGCGTCAGATGGAGATCACGACGAAAGAAAAAAAAAAAGGGGGAAGAAAATGAAGCGGACCGTAAAAACTACCGTCACATGAATATTCACACCCGGTGAGAAGGACGCAGCGTTCGGCGGGACGACTGCGTTTCAGCGACAGCGGGAGGCACAACGGCGAGGATTAACGCGGAAGGACTCGAACACGAGCTGCGGCGGTTCGGATTACCCGCTCACTGGGGGGGAAGAAAAAGGGAAAACAAGCGACGCTTCGCGGAGGTTCGTGCGCGCGGGGGACGAGGAGGAGGCGGCCGTTAGGAGGAGAAGCGCTCGCGAGTCGGCGGTTGGAAACCGGACGGAGCCGAACGGACGTGTTCGACGTTGTCGCGTGAACTTCACTGTCGATGCCGTTTTAAAGCGTCGAGAAGGAGGAAAAAGACAATTCAAATCAACGCCGAGCGAACGAACGAACCCCCCCCCCGCCTCCCTCTGCTCCGTTGAGGGGGTTAATTTCCAGCAAACAGAGCGACATTTCTCCGGATACCTCCGCGGAGAGGAGATCGGGGGAGGAGGAGGAGGAGGGGGGGTCGCTTGTGCCGATGCCAACGGCGGACTGCAGGTTGCTCCATCATGGCCGGATCATGAGGTGTCTGACTTATCTGCTCCTACTTCCAGAAACGCTGAAAAAGTCCAAGAAGGTCGGCAAGCTCCCGGGCAAGCTGCCGGTATGTTATGAGATCCTGACTCTGTCCCTGACGAGCAAGAAGAAGCAGCAGCAGCAGCAGGAGGAGGAGAAGATGGCCGCGGAGTTGTACCCCGCCGCCGGCCCCAACAACCCCAACCTGTCCACCGGCACCACGGTGGCAGACACCGAGAAGACCAACAAGGAGGTGCAGGTGAGCCAGGCGGGCGCAGGAGGAGGCGGAGGAGACGGAGACGGAGGAGGAGGCCGCGGCAGCGCGGCGACCACCCCGACCACCCAGCAGAACATCAACAACAACAACGTCGAGCCGCCGAGCTGGCAGTGCAGCCACCCGACGCTGCGGGAGAGGTACGACGCCACGAGCCGCCATGACGGACGTCACTGCGTGCGTGACGCCGTAGTGACGGAGGAGCGCTTTAATGTGACCGGGACTTTATGTACACGCGCGTATGAGATGTTAACGGGGGGGTTTAATTGTGGCGGTTCCGCCTTTCTGGGCGGTAAATCTGTGGGTTCAGTACATTCGGCTAAAAAGACAACAGATGACGCAAATGGTCACTGGCAGCAGCGTGACATCCACTTGATGTTACACAACACCTGAATCCTGCTCCTGCTTCTAGGAATGCCTTGATGTTCAACAATGAGCTGATGGCGGACGTCCACTTCATTGTCGGCCCCTTGGGGGGGTCGCAGAAGGTCCCAGCACATAAGGTAAAGACATACCCACGTGTTCTGACTAACCCTAAAAAAAGGTGGATCTAGAAGATTTTTTTAAATGGATCTGTGAGTTTTATCCGTCTCCGCAGCACTAATGAAAAACAATCTGATCCTCTTGCTCCTTTATTGAACTCTCCTCTTCCCCCCCCCCCCTGCAGTATGTGCTGGCCGTGGGAAGCTCGGTGTTCTGCGCCATGTTTTACGGCGATCTGGCGGAGGAGGATTCTGAGATCCATATCCCAGATGTGGAACCGGCTGCTTTCCTAATTCTGCTGAAGTAAGCCACTCACTGCCCTCACGCAGGCAAAGCCACGAGGGGGGGGGGGGGGGGGCGACAAGCGTAGTCCGTGTGAGCGTATTATTACTCATCCACAGCAGCGGCGAATGCCAGAATGCTGCGAGCGCTCCAGAGCAGCAGCGCTCTGTAATTGCTGGTTCTCTCGGTGCGCTTTTGTCCAACTTAAAACATTTTTGTCCCCGTCATCCGCTGCCTGACAATCTGCTCTGAGGGGGAAATGCATGCAGGCTACTAGTTAAAAATATCCTCCTTTTGTTGTTCGTTCAGTAGCATTGGCTGAGCCAGCCCTGTTGCATCTTGGGCCTTTTGTGATCGTCTTTACACAATCCTCCTCGGGGAGAAACACATGCAGCCATTTAAACAGGTGACGTTCCCTCTCCCAGGTACATGTACAGCGACGAGATCGACCTGGAGGCGGACACGGTGCTGGCCACCCTGTACGCCGCCAAGAAGTACATCGTCCCCGCGCTGGCGAAGGCCTGCGTCACCTTCCTGGAGACCAGCCTGGAGGCCAAGAACGCCTGCGTGCTGCTGTCCCAGAGCCGCCTGTTCGAGGAGCCCGAGCTGACGCAGCGCTGCTGGGAGGTGATCGACGCCCAGGCCGAGCTGGCGCTGGGCTCCGAGGGCTTCTGCGAGATCGACCTGCAGACGCTGGAGATCATCCTGCGGCGGGAGACGCTCAACACCAAGGAGGTGGTGGTGTTCGAGGCCGCCATGAACTGGGCCGCCGCCGAGTGCAAGAGGCAATGTTTGGGCCCGACGACCCGCAACAGGAGGGAGGTGCTGGGCAAGGCGCTGTTCCTGGTGCGCATCCCCTCCATGACCCTGGAGGAGTTCGCCGACGGGGCGGCGCAGTGCGACATCCTGACGCTGGAGGAGACGCACAACTTGTTCCTGTGGTACACCGCGGCCAAGAAGCCCCACCTGGACTTCCCGCTGACCGCGAGGCAGGGCCTGGCGCCGCAGAGGTGCCACCGCTTCCAGTCCTCGGCCTACCGCAGCAACCAGTGGCGCTACCGCGGCCGCTGCGACAGCATCCAGTTCGCGGTGGACAAGCGGATCTTTATCGCCGGCCTGGGGCTCTACGGGTCGAGCGGCGGCAAAGCCGAGTACAGCGCCAAGATCGAGCTGAAGCGGCAGGGCGTGACGCTGGCGCAGAACCTGACCAAGTTTGTGTCGGACGGGTCGAGCAGCACGTTCCCCGTGGGCTTCGAGCACCCGGTTCAGGTGGAGCAGGACGCCTTCTACACGGTGAGCGTGGTGCTGGACGGGAACGAACTCAGCTATTTCGGGCAGGAGGGCATGACGGAGGTGCAGTGTGGGAAGGTGACCTTTCAATTCCAGTGCTCCTCCGACAGCACCAACGGGACTGGAGTCCAGGGAGGACAGATCCCCGAGCTCGTGTTCTACGCGTGAGGCGCTCGGCTCGTCCTGGCGGCCTCCCAGCCTTCACAGTAATGTAGCATCAAAGACACTCGACTCATGTCGCACTAAATGACCCGGTTAGTTCAGTCAGACGATTTTAAAAGCCAAGGAGCTGTCGTTTTATCTTATTTAATTTAATGGTATTTTTTTATTTAAATGCTGGGTTAACGTTATTGGCTCTGGCGGCAGAGCTGCTGTAGGAACATTAATACGGTGACGTGTGGTTATGTAATCAAGCGGAGCTCCACCACTGGAACAAGTAGGGGCCGCTTCAAGTGTGTAATTGGAGCTTTATATGCAACGTTGTTAATAAAGTGTAAGCAGCAATATTACACCAAGAGCAACCTTCTATGTGGTGTTATGATTCTAAATGCCAAGAAAAAAAAAAGTAGATCTTGTTAGTTGTTTTGCACGTCAGAGGACGGTCTTTTGTAAACAAAAAAAACAATTTAACTGTTGGCAGCTTGATGCTGTTAAAGATGAACACGTGTGTTCTGTACAAGAATGCTGATAACCTGATGAAACATAAAAAGGTTATAAAGTGATCCAAGCGACGCAGGTCTTGATTTGAGGGACTGCAGCGCCCTCTGGTTACGGCGCTGGGAACTACATCCGCTGTCATGAGAACAAGTTTCATTGTGCAGACGGGATATTCATTAAAGCCTAGTTTATGCTTCTGCGTTTTCAGAGCGACGCAAGAGCCCCTTGCGTGTCTTTTCACACCTCCTTGCGTGGGTCGAGCGCTTGTACAAGCCGTCATTGGCGGACTATGAGGACGCCGGATGGCCTCTGATTCATGGAGGGAGATCTCCACCAACGAGGGGAACAAAGTTGTGGAGGAGAATACGGGACAAATGTGTCCTTGATGAAAAGCAGCAGTGTGGATGCACGGGGCAATAAAGTCTATGATCAATAAATAAAGCAACCAACGACTTCCACACACAAAGACGTGACTCTCTAGGTCGTCTTCAACAAAACACGTTACTCCACCTGTTGTTCTGGAGGTGAATCGCTCTGCAACACACGCAAGACTTTTAGAACCAGGAAGTGAAACGAGTGCGTCGACACGACGTAAAGACGCAGACGCAGAAACATGCGGCGGCCTTTAGGGTTTGTTCATGTTCATCAACAAGCTGCTCAGTAAGTAAAGGTTCACTGGTTACAGACATGTGATCATTTAGTACAATACATAGAGAGGAGCCTCTTGTCATCTCCATGATGATTCTTTTTATGTCACATAAACAGGGTGGGGGTCAGGGTACCTATAGCTGGGGCGTTGATGCACAGCTCTCTGGACAGGACGAGGAAGGTCCTCCCCAGAACGTAGACGTTCACCTGTGGAGGAGAGCAGGGTCACATTAGAATAACACCACAGAAGAAGACCCCTGCTGCCTCTTATAGAACTCCAGTGTGACATTAAGACGCTGGATGAGGAAGGTGGGGGCGGGGGGAGGGGAGGGGGTCGCAGGTTAAGCGTTCCTGTTACATCATCGACCTGCAGGGTGACGGATGTTCTGCTCACCACGAGAGGATTAAAATCTGAGCTGTGGGCCATTTCAAGGGATTCTCGGACCGGCCCCTCCCCTCACAGATGTTTCATTGTACTTTACCCTCGACACCTCCAGAAGGCTGGCAGTAAATCCCCCCCCCCCCTAATGTGAAGAGGATGAATAACAAAGCCCACAGGGCGGCACATCTATCACGCTCGCCGCAAATCAGCATCATCGCAGCCCGGAATCCAGATCTGGGGCATAAAGCAGGCGGCAGCGGGATCAGGTCGTGAACCCGGGTCAGATGTCTGTCATTCCTTCAGACCTCCGAGGGGTGAGGGGGGTGTGTGGGGGGGGCACAGACGGACAGACTCTCGCTCGGGCCCCTCTGGAGTCGACCAGATGCTTCCTCTGCTATTCTGGGAAGTGGATTCCAGCGAGGAATTCATATGCAAAAGGCTGAAGGGGGGCAGGCCGCGGGGGGGGGGGCTTTAGAACTCAACACATTATTGCAGAAATATTGAGCCAACCAGGAACAAACTCATCACCTTCACTTCCTCAAAGAGCAGCGTCTTTACCCGCCCCAAAGTACAGTTGAAGGTCTAGTGAGTCAGATATGGGTGATCCAGGTGGATCAGCAAGCATCAACAAGTCTGCAGCGCCCCCCCCCCATATTGTTAAGTGGTTTCCTTGATGTTTCATGGCTCAGTTCCTCTTGAAATCAGAACCCTCTCCAACCTCATTGAGTCTCATCTTTACAGACTTCACAAAATGAAAGCTCAGGTTTGTAGATTTGTCAGAAGATGAATCCAGAACGTGAAAGGGGAGACCAACACAGGCCTTTGAAATCACTAAACCCCCCCCCCCTAAAAAAACAACAACGAGAGCAAATTACACAGAGTGGAGCCCTGAGGAGGGTTCATGTCTAAGTTCATGTCCATCAACCCTCCACCTCACCAGCTCTTATCGATTACGTCTTCAGCAGAGATCAGGATTATGGATCCTGAGACTACGGAAGGCAGAGCGGTTACTGAATGCCGTTTAGTCCGTTTCTAGTTTCTTTAATGTGAAACGTTTTAAAGTTTTAATCACTTTTACAGCCAAATATGAATCAAACTCCCATGAAAGTAGAGTTGTGTTGAAACTCATGTTAAGTTACTTTTATACACATGAACCAAGAGGGAATAAAAGCTGCAGCCGGAGGAACAGCTGATCTGATCTCCACCCCTCCATCATCTGAACAATGCAGACTGGATCCATAAGAAGACCCACCCAAAGTCCACTCCCAGCTCCTCATGCCGGGTGTGGGCCATTACGGGAGGAGGGGGGGCAGCTGGGTGCATAAAAATACCCCCACGCCCCTGACCAGCTGTGACAGAGGACCGTGGCCACACCCCCGACCACCGGTTCTAAATTTATCACAACACGCGACCTGACGTGTGGCTGCAGCAGGCCGAGCGGTTAGGCAGCAGAGGTGCATTATGGGAAATGTGGGTGGGCGTTTGAACTAAAGTAGCAGGGTGGGCATCACCGCACGTTAACACGAAAAAGAGAATTAAGGAGTCTGGAAAAGTAGATTTGCAGTAAATGTAATTAGTTTCTCATTCAGTGAAGTGCAGCAACTATTGGGAATAAGTGGTTACACTTTGGATAAAGTCACGTGACTCAATTAATTTATTCATCTGTGGGACTAAACGAGACAATTAAACATTTAAATTGATGAGCTCACCTGCACGATGTCACTGAGGTCGAGCAGCATGTCTGAGAGGAACCGGTTAAGTGACGTCAGCCAGAAAGGAGTTTATTCGTCATTATTCTGTCTCAGTAAATATTTTGCAGTAACTAGATAATAATATCCGATCTCACGCTGTCCGTCTGTCTACTTTAAATCCTACTCCTTAAACCCCCCCGTGCAGAGAACAAGGTTCGGATGAAGGAGAGAAAACAGGAAAACATGGGAGGATACGCGGCGTTCCCTCGGTGCGGCACACCAGGTAGAGGCAGGCGGCGACCACGTGGCAGTTCTTGCGCCCGCGGGTCAGGTTCTTCATGAGCGCCATCTTGTAGAAGTTCAGGGCCGTGTCCAGACAGTGTTTGTTCATCTGCAGCTGGTGACCCAGCGTGTTGATGTTGTGTCGCGCTGGGGAGGGACAGAGTCGCACTCAAACGTTTGCGCAGAGAGGTGCACGTGGTTTAAAGCAGCAACTTCTACTGCTAAATCTGAACCTGGTGACCAGGCCTTCAATGCCGAGACCACAGCACACGCACAATACGTGTTACACAAGCACGTGTGCAAACCGAACACGCCCGGAGACGAGCGCGAGGGTTTAATAACCAACAAATAATTATGTCATTGCATGCAACACAGAGGACACACACACACGCACTTGAGAAAGTAACGGCAGGAAACAGACAACAGCTTTCAGAATAAAAGCAGCAACAGGCCAGTAAAAGAGCATTAGGCTGATGGCGAGCGCTGAGGACGGGTCCATCTCCTTTATTCTCAAACGAAACGCAACTCTGGACGTCATAAATGTTACGTTGTTTTTTGTTTTTTAATCTGAGTGAGCCGAAGAGGGAAGATCTGAAATAAAAAACGCTTTCACCTCAACATTCACCCAATAATCAAAGTTTTTCTTGAAAGATACTCGAGGTAAAGATATTACACTCGGCCTGAAACATCTGCACTCGATCCACGATGATCTGTAAACATCCATGATGCACATGAACGTGTTGGGGGGGGAGGTGGCGCCCTCCGCTGGCCACTCACCTTTCTGCAGGGTCTGAGCGCGGGACTCCCTCCCCATCCCAGAGAAGTGGTTGTCCCCAAAGGACGGGTTGACGCCTCCAGCTGGAGGCACAGACACGGGACTCATTTCAGATATCAAAACATTGAAGTTTATATTTCAGACAAACAATGTCATGAAATTAAATAACAGGTAACCGTTAAGTCTTAATCAGCTGATTTTCCTACTCTCACATTAATGTTAATTTAATGTTTACAGACGCGGATCAATTAATTATGAAAATAATCTAGAGCTGCAGCTCTTTAACTGTTTCCATTTCTTCAATGAATTATTCTTCTATTAAATGTATTCAAATCTGAAAAATGCAAGAAAAGCAAGTTGACAAAAATATAAAACACATAATATTCTAATTTCATGTTAATAAAAAATGAGCCGAGTGTTGTTATCAGACAGCGCCCCCTAGTGGACGACAACACATTGAGTATCAGGGTGCAGCCTCAGCAGGAGAGACGTCCTGCAGGCTGAAGGTCAGAAGATCATCTGGAGGTAAACGTGACGCACTGATAAGCAGCTGTAGACGGACACATGACCCCCTCCCACTTCAACCCCCCCACTCCACCTTTTGGATAAGCGGTGCAGAAGATAACGGACTTAATTTAAGACAAAAAATAAAAATAAAACTTCTGAGAACCTGTTGAGATGATCCACTAATCAACCAATTGATTGACTGACTTTTAGCGCAGTGTCTTATGTTAAGAGTTTGATGCTCCCGTGTCTCCCCCCCCCCCCTCCCGCTCACCGTCAGCGGCGATGAACTGCCCCACGGCCGACGAGGCTCCGCCCCCCGTCTCCACGAACTCCACCTCGGAAACGATGATGTTGTCCTCCAGCACCGAGCCGCAGGTCATGCAGACGGCGTCGCCGCGGGCATGGTCCACGTCGATGTCCGAGCCGCCGCAGTTCTTGCACACCTTGGAGCTCATGGTGTCGCCGGGCGAGCCGCAAAGCCTGATGGGAAAAAAAGGTTCAACTAGTTAAATCTTTCCCGTTTGAGAATCAGAAGGTGATGTTGGTCTTGGATTGTTTATACATGCCAGGGGTTTAACGTACCGCCGTATATTGAACTGAACTTCGGTAAAAAAGAAAGATGAAGTATTGGTACTTTAGTACTTCCAGTACAATGTACTTCACAGCTGTAGTTACTTTACAAATTGACATGGCAACAACTGTTTATTTAGAACAACAAACAGTCAACTTAAGCACATCTGGAGTTAGTAGTTTACCTGGACAGGAAGTACCTAAAGAACATAAAATATAAAAGCTGATATTCCAATTATATGCATTTCACTTGTACAGAGTACACAGTGTGAAACTGCTACTTTTACTTTGGGTACTTTCAGTATATTGTGATAGAAGTACTTCTAAAATAGACGTGTGTACTTCCACACGTCTACACGTGTGTTGAGTATTTCTACAGTGTGTCACTGATACTTCTACTGGTACTTTCAGTATATTTAGATAAAAGTACTTTCATACCAAAGTATGAATAAAAAAACACAAGCCTTACTTGTAACAGAGTATTTCTACCCTGTGCTACTGCTACTTTTATCATAATAAAGGTACTTTTACGCAGTAGTACTGTGCTCTGCTGCCGGTAGCCGGTTAGCTACGTGGCACTCACGCCGGGGCTCGCCGGCCTCTCCTCCCCCAGCCGGCCGAGCAGAGTCGTCATTCTGCGGGGTCAAAGTTGGCAGCCACGGCCCTGTATTACGTCACGTTACGTCACCCGGCCGAATAAGGGGTCCGTTTAAATGACGCGTCAGCTAGCTGCTAACACGTTGACAGCCGGGCACCGGGATGCTAACGGGGCGCTGTTAGCCCGCCACACACACACACACACTTTAACGGACCGGTAGATGACGTAACGAGTGTTAAACAGTCAAAGCCCCCCCCCCGCGCCCACGTGTCACATACCTTCAGGCCGGTGGTCGGTAACAGTCAGCTGCACCGGGAGCGTTTTCTGCACTAGAAGTGAATCGCAGGCCGTCTCTCGTGTACGGGACACTTATCGCATCGTCCCTGGTGTCGTCAAAGTGCAGCCGGTACCGGGGGGGACGAGAGCGGCCGGTACCGGGGGGACCGCTTCGTTAAACGCTGCAACAATCCTCACAACACACCCGACATGTGCGTTTAAGTTAATGCTGTGGAGTCACGGGCGAGACCAACTCGAGCTGGAGGGGGGGGGGTGAAGTGGTGTCATGGTGTTGATTAATTCACCAAATAATGGAACAAGTGGGGACATTTGTAGAAATGTGAGGCGGATAATTACTGATAACATCACGTTGGAAGTCAGATAAATGTAAAATAAGCATAAGGTTGTCATACAAGTGTTTACGGCAACGGACTCCCCTACTTGTGTGACGGCACTTCTTATGTCCCTGATAGCAAACGTACTGTTATGTTCAATGGCTGAGAGGAAGAAAATACAACAACTTACTATTTAGAAAATACTATCATTTACAATTGTGTTTCTATTTCTTTATTCTTCTTTCACCATTTTTAGCTTGCATGTATTTGTAACAGACATTAAAGACCAAGACTTAATGTGAGGCGGCAAGTTTGTACCAGTGAGCAACAATGTTGTAACTTTTATCACCATATTATAATATGTAGTTTTATATTTTTGCTTTATCTTAAATCTGAAGAGGCTCAACAACTTGAAAGCCAAAATTAAGCATCTGAGCTTCAGTCAGAGGGAGATAAAAAACTCACAACGAGCTTCTTTGCCAAGTCTCACCAGCTTCATATACTATATGAAATGAAAAGAATCATCTGATGCCACAATGCAACAGGGCCCCAACATATTACTAATCTTATTTACAACTCACTTTCTTCATTATACAAAATTCTGTCATTCTTCCAAACTCGTAACAGAGTAGGTTTGATAATTGAAGCTGAATAATCTTGCACAAGCTTCAATAAGTCAAAGATCCAGTGATTGCATTGCTGTGGTTTATTGACACTTTTTACTGTTTATACATCATTATGATTTCCAACACCATGTGACTACTGTAAAGGACAAAGACTCCTACAATATGTATAAAAATAGTTATAGTAGACTATAGAGTTATAGTTCCACTAAATTATAAAGATTTTACGCGATTATTATCAACAGGAAACAAGATGAACAAAACAGGAAGCACTATACAACAGGCGCTAAATAAACCTGTCTGAATTAGACGCAGAAGGTTTCCATGACGACATCTCCATCCATCTTCAGCTCACTTTGGGAGTGTCGTCCCTCCAGAGGACTTTGGCTTGCGGGTGTTTGATTTATATGTGGGCGCATCAACCTGATTTGTGCTCTCGAATTTAGAAAGTGATTTGCCGCCATAGTTGGTGACGTTCATTTATATGTAAAATGAATATCGCAGCACCAGAAAGCATTCAGAGAGCGTGCGATATGTCACTTCTATCCAGAGCCTCGTGGTTTCTTCCATTTTGGACCTTTAGAAATTCAGTACACCTCTGTCAATGGAGGTGCTCCCTGTGTAGATATAAAAGTGTCATCGTCAAGTAACGGAAACACAACCATCCTCTATGATTACACACTTATACACATACATATTGATACTAGATGTGTTTACTGTGCACGTTCAGCGGGCTCAAAACGCCAAGCGACCCTTGTGAGAGTCTGAATGAAGTTACATCTTATGGTGGCTCGATGCTTACTGCGCTCAGAATACGTCGAAGCGGATGGAAGTCTCCCCCTGCGGGTCGGTAAGAGACCGGCTGCAGCTGAAGCTTCATCGGCCATCATGGTTCTGGTAGACAAGAGAAGAAAATATTAGATTGTAAAAGAAGAAATCGGGTCAATAAAAGTCATTATAAAGTAATAATGACTCACTGATCTTCTCCACAGCTGCCGGTTGAGCAGTTCATCTTCTCAGACATAGTGAGTCAATACATATGACAATGCAGATGTTTGAGTGATGAGGCAAAATCTGCCAAAACTGATGAAAAATAAAGATCATGTTACTCAAATCACTATGAAAGTATCTCAATATTTTGACTTTGTAAGCATGACCAGGGTAATTGCAACATATGTGAGTGGTGAGAAGAATAAGCCAGACGTTCCTTCTTTCATTAAATGTAACTTCATTACATTTCTTTATTGAATAGAGATCAAAGGTTAAAGTAACTTCATCACATTTCTTTATTGAATAGAGATCAAAGGTTAATTGGTTTTATCTTCCCAAATCTGGAGAGGTCGCTTGTTTTCTGTTCTTGTGACGTCCCGGGCGGGCGGAGCACGAATCCTCTTCACAATATTCAGCGGTGATGCTTCAGCCCCGGCGAGGGGGGGTCGGGGTTAGGAGGGGGCAAGACCTGCCCAGAGGATGTATGCCACAACCTGCTGGGCACTGAGGAGTAAAGTGGTCCATTAGTCCCCCAATGGGGGAAAGGCCCAGCACATCTGGGTCCCTCCCCCCGCACCTGGTCCTTTCTGGACATGTCCTCCCTGCACCAAGTCCTCTCTGGACATGGTCGTCCCTGCACCAAGTCCTCTCTGGACATGGTCCTCCCTGCACCTGGTCCTCTCTGGACATGGTCCTCCCTGCACCTGGTCCTCTCTGGACATGGTCCTCCCTGCACCTGGTCCTCTCTGGACATGGTCCTCCCTGCACCTGGTCCTCTCTGCACCTGGTCCTCTCTGGACATGGTCCTCTCTGTGGCTGGTTGTCTCCGATAATTCCACTGGCTTGTTTTCCATTAAGGCCCCCCCCCGCTGTGATGATAATGATGCAAGGAGGATTACACAATCCAGCATTATATATTTGAATGACCCACACAGGATTTGTTTACGTTCATCTCGTGTTGCTTGTGGCGCCTCCATGTGGACAGACGGGGTAGCGGCACCACGTCTCCTTTACAAAAGCTCTTAATTTATCTGCAGCAGTATTTTAAAATGAGGAGAGAAAAGGAGGCGTTTTCAGAAAGGCAGGTTCCATAAGGTTCCTTTCTCGGAGGCCACATTCATTTATCAGAACGGAACAAACCGATCTGACTTGGGCCGCAGCGACATGAACCCTCCTCTTCCTCCTCCTCCTCCTCATCCTCCTCCTCCTCCTCCTCATCCTCCTCCTGTGATCAGTATCTTCGCGGTTTGCCGCAGATGTTTTTTTCTGACTTCAGTGAGAATGTAGCACAACACATAAAGTGATACGTGTCTTAATGCGGCTTTAGAAATGAACACACGGGATTCTGTATCTCATGAAGCCTGAAACGCGTCATTTGGACGATGTGCTGATAAGCGCCCGCAGGGGGGAAAACGCCCCACGTGTGGAAACCAGCGAACTGACGACTTGCTAAAGTCGGTTTTAAATGTGTTATAAAACCAAATCTATTATTATCATTATTATTATCATTATTATAGTGGTTGATGAAGAAACGTCTTCACTCCGATCAACGGACTTCATGTAATCGTCTTCAAAGCGGAAGTGAAAGAATCACTCGGTGAATATAAACCATCGATCTTCTCTCTGATGGTCTACTTACAGAACTCACATTTATATTGAGTTGTTTCACAATCAGTTAAACGTCATTTCGACATTAAAAGCTAGACATCAAGTTAGAATAGAACATTTATGAAATAAGCGGAAATGAACTCAGCAGCTGCGGAGCGAGACTCGACCTTCAGACTCTTTCTTTATAAAAGAAGCAGATCGATTCTATCGAAATTAAACCATTCAGCATTAAAACAGGAAATAAACCGCTCGGTGAGAACATGTAGAATAGATTTGACGTGTAAAACACGCGGTAACGATACCTTCGTTGGTGGAAAACAAGCTGCGTCAAGAGCAAAGTGATCAAAGTGAAACTTAACTAGTGTGACCACGCCCACAAACCGTCCTGCTTCAAAACGACTGGATGAACGACTTAAAGCGTCAGAGTCAGAAACAAGGAGAAATAAATATATACATATATATATATATATATATATATATATATATCCATCCATCCATCCATTGTCAAACCGCTTATCCTGCACACAGGGTCGCGGGGGGGCTCCCAGCCAACTTCGGGCGATAGACAGGGTTCATCCTGGATTGGTCGCCAGCCAATCGCAGGGCTGCACAGAGACACACAACCATTCACACTCACATGCACACATCTACGGGCAATTTAAAGTCCCCAATTAACCTGATCCCCAGAGCACGTCTTTGGACTGTGGGAGGAAGCCGGAAATATATATATATATATATATATATATATATATATAATATTAATATGAATATTGTCTGTACTATTTGTCTCTCCTTTCATGCGGTGTTGTACTTCTAGTCAGAAACAAGGATAAATAAATAAATATACACATTTAAATAAATAAATATACACATTTATATACATATATATATGAATATTGTCTGTACTATTTGTCTCTCCTTTCATGCGGTGTCTACTCCACATCTGGGATAAATTTGAATTCGATCGATTTGATGAAATAGAAATGGAAAATCTTTTGATGTTGAAGGAAAACAAACTAACACACGAACTTATGTTCGGTTTCTAAATGTGAGGATTTTACCTTTCAGGTGAGTTGGGGCGTATTTCTTCTTCTCCGTTTCTATTTTGCTGTTAGAGTAACACCCCATCATAACAATCACATCATGAAAATACTTTCACACTGATGCATCCATTACGTTACATTACAGGTCCTTTAGCTTTTATTTAAAGCATTACATTTTTAACCCGTGGCTTTTTACATTGTTGCCCAGGGAGCAATTAGGGGTCAGGTGTCCTCCCCAGGGGCACTTCGACATGGGACATGGAGCAGCCGGGGGGCCCGGGACACCCTCTCTACCCATCCATGATAATAATGTCATTATGAAACAACAATGAAACTTATTTTAATATTTAAAGGACCGTATTTTAACGTTTCTCAGGAAGCTGCAGCTCCTGAATCAAAGAGCAGCACTCTTGAAAATGCGAAGACTTATGACGCAACCTGCAACCTGCTTGACTGTGTTTTAGGTTGGAAATGCTACACGTTAGTCGTTATTAAAACAACCCCCCCCCCACCCCCACCCCGAGTGGGCGGAGCCAGGCTTTCCCGGAAACGGCCGTTGTTTGTGCGACAGGTTAGCTGCTGTAAAGATGTTTTTTGTGGTTCTTTTTATTTTATTTCATGTTTTTTGCATTTATTTTATTTTATTTGATACACTACATATTCCCCACCTCTATCTCAAGTCCGACCTATTCCGCTAGGGGGGGGGGGAGAGTGGGACTAGTTCATTTTTAAAAAAATTTATTTTCATGTTGTTTTTACATGTTTATATTATTTATTGTTCTATTGTTCTATTATTTATTTAATGTTCTTTTTGTTTACATTTGTTATTTCATTCGTCTAATGGTCCCACTTATGACAACTTCAGCTCTATTGATTAGGAACATATTCATGCTTTCATGTGTAACTGAATTTCTGTTCCAATAGCACTTTTAATTGAAAACATAACAGAATAAAATAACCTTAAAAAGAGTATTTTTGGAATAAACTCTGACATCTAGAGGTATTATTGTGGCAGCTTGGATATCCTCTGACAAGTGGCAATAGGAGAAATAAGTGCAAGTCCTAGAATAACATGCTCAACATGCTCAACAAACCCAATAAATTGAAAAACCCCACTCAAGTCAATAAAAAACAAGAAACAGCTCGACAGCCTCTCGGATCGAGTGGCGCTTTGAGGACGCCTAACAGACGCCTATAGACGCCTAACTATAGGCGCCTATAACTAACTATAGGCTAACTATAGGCCTAACTATAGGCGCCTATCTATAGGCGCCTATAGACGCCTATAGACGCCTAACTCTCTCTATTGGACCTGGTGTTTCTCTTCTCCCTGTGCTCTCTGCATCACTGCCTGTCCTCTCACTGCCTGAAAACATATGTTGAATTTAAGAGTTAACCAGTTAACTGACAACATGAGTTAAAGGAACACTCATGTACTACCTACGTCATCATAAATAGCCTATACAGCATGTTTTGTTTTCACATTGAGAACTGACTTGTTTTCTAATCTACGCGTCACCAGGCGTTTTTCTTGTCCTTTTACCGACCAGCGAACACAGAAGCCGTTTCTCAATACCTAAGACGGCGAGAACGGACTCGCGTTCCCGCGAGAATAGACTCGGGAGACAGACTCGGGAGTCCTGACTCACGGGTACGGGAGAACGGAGAACGGACATTTCCGCAATTGGAACAGCAGCTGACTTGATGACGTCACCACAGTAGGCGGTCTTTGTTTACGCACGCAAGTATCTCATCTGCCATCGCAGCTTGCTGAGGTGAAATGCATTCTGGGATATATGTCTCTCACAAGAACAGACGAGCCTGCTTCGATGCGTGCCCGGTAAAATGGGCGGGGCGAGTCACATCCGGGTATTATGACCGTTCTCGGCCAGATGCGGACTTGAGAATTGGAACAGTACTCGGGCTGTGACTGATGACGTTTCACGAGTCCACGAGAACAAAAGTCCACACAAGAACGCATATTGAGAAACGGCAATTGTCTGACATGAAACCGGTCCGTGAGGTAAAAAAGGTCGGGGACCACTGGGCTGATCCACAGCGTGTGTGTTTACACACCTCCTGCATCCTGATTGGTCGCTGCTGCAGCCGCAAGGCGCTGATTGGATGCTCACAGACCGCAATACAGCGCAGAGGAACATGATTCAGACTACGTCGTTTATATGTTCAACAAAAGGAAACGTAGTCTTAGCTGTTTTAAAATTACACCAAGTTTATTTTGGATTATTCCAACAGAAGAATACAAGGCACAGGGAACTTTGAGGTGCGTAAACGGTATTTATAGGTGCGTAAACTGTATTTAGAGGTGCGTAAACGCTATTTACAAAATTCTAGGTGCGTAAACACTGTTAACCTGCGTTTACCCTCCACTACAGCCCTGAGTGTAATATAGTAACATTTTAGCAGTTAGGAAAGAATAACTCTGTCCCTCACCTCCTTCCCAAACTAAACTTTGTCCGCATTTATCCTCATTCCCCAAGAAAAGGGACACACCAAGTGGCAACAACAACACCAATAATCCTACAATAATTATTTAAATTATTATTGGAGTTCCACTAAATACAATCTATTTAAAGAGATTATTGTCAACAGGAAACAAGATTAACACAACAGGAATTAGAAGACATAGAAGGTTGCCATGGCGGCGTCTCCATCCATCTTCAGCTCACTTTGGGGGGGCCGTCCCTCCAGAGCCTCGGTGGCTTCTTCCATTCTTGACCTCTAGAAATTCAGTCGAAGATCTCCCCCAGAGTTTCTCCCTGTGTAGGTGTAAATGTGTCGTCATCAGGTAACGGAAACACAACCATTCTTTGTGATTACACACTGAATACACGTACTTATTGGTATTATGTGTGTTTATTGTGCAGGTTCAGTGGGCTCAGAACACCAAGCGACCCTTTTGAGAGTCTGAATGAAGTTACATCTTATGGTGAGTAAAAGCTTACTGGATCTTGACCTTTGATCGTCCTCCAAATTCATGTTTGGTTTCCTGCAAATAACAAGTTATTGTTACTTGGCATGAAAATGAACATTGAAAGCAACATGATTTAATATATGATGACAGCGTGTGGAACAAGGCAGTAGAAGTGATACAGAATGTAATAATGTGTAATATGTGAAATGTTCATATGAGGTCACTAAAAGCGTTTTACTTGACAGCTCGGTACGTCATTCCGTTTCTCTTGGTGTAGAGATCTTCTGATGGTTTCACAGTTCTTGACCTTATGAGGGTTCTAGAAGAAAGAAGATCACACAAACATTTAAACATCTCACGTTGGTCTCTGAAAGGATCCTCAGTCACTTTATTGTGGAGGTTTAAAAGCAGGAAGGACGTCTGTGTGTGTTTCCTGTTTTTTAACCACATCAACAAAAACATCAGTAACAAAGTACTTCATATTACCCTGAATAATATTAATATATCACTAGTCCGAGTGAGTGGACAATATGGATCCATGTAAACTAATAAACAACCACCAGTTAATAAATTAGATATTTAGGATTATTTGACTTCCAGACACATCATGTGATGATGCACAGAAACTATAAATCAAGTCGTGTCAAATAACTCACCTCAGCGGGAATGTTGCCATGATCCCTGTGTGTTCTGCACAGTCTGGTCTCTACTGCAGCTCTGAGATGTACACAACACACACACACACACACACACACACACACACACAGTTAAAAATGAGTTGGACATCGGGGAAAAAAACATTTGACTCCAGAAATCTGCTTTCAATGTCAATTTTATTTATTTAGCACTTCTAAAGGCCAAAGTGATTTACAGGATAAAATAATCAGCAGCAAAAAACAAAACGAGCAAAAGTAAAACAACAAACAAGAAAAAAACAGTAAAAGGCAAACAAATAAAAGGCCGATACAGGAGACTTCACTCAGCCAAGGACAAGGTAAACAAGAGGGTCTTAAGGCGACTTTTAAAAGTAGAAAGGTCGCAGACTGCACAGACAACGGGAAGCAGTCCGAGGTGTGGAGCTGAAGAATAAAAGAAGCAGATCGATTCTATCGAAATTAAACCATTCAGCATTAAAACAGAAAATAAACCGCTCGGTGAGAACATGTAGAATAGATTTGATGTGTAAAACACGCGGTCACGATACCTTCGTTGGTGGGAAACAAGCTGCATCTGCGGCGGAGGGAAAGAAGAACCCGTTGGTATGTTAACCACGTGAGACCGGTTTGGTGACTTAACAACCGGTTTGTTCTCTACTGGAAAGGGAGCCTATTCTCAACATGTTCCTCATTCAAACCAACTTCACTAACGACTTGAAGGGACATAATAAATTATACATATATATATATATATTACACATATGCATGTGTATGAATATTTACTTTACATTAATGCAGTGTTGTACTTCTACTAAGTTTAAGACAAATACATTGTACCTTGTACTTCACTATTTATACGTGATACAAAACCTGCGAAGAGCTTTTAAAACATACTTTGTTATAATAAACTACTCAACATGATTCACAACCAGAGCGGAAACAATTAGTCGTTTCGTCGATTTGATGAAATAAGAAATGGAAAATCTTTTGATGTTGAAGGAAAAACATTTATCAAACTTTTTATGTTCAGTTTCTACATTTTAATCTTCAGGTGATTTGGGGCAAACGTCTTTTCGGAGTTTCTATTCTGGCTGTTAAAGTAACACCTCCACTATTAGTGAAGTTGAAAGTTAAATATTTGAAGGACATATTCCGTATTTTAACGTTTCTCAGGAAGCTGAAGCTCCTGAACCAAAGACTTTATCCTCAGTCGATGTTTCTCTTCAGTTTATCCGCTAAAATAAACTTTTCCAAAAGACACAATCGACACGACAAAATATACAAACACTTGATTTTTATTCCCAAGAGAAAAATCCAACAAAGTGTTTTGGTAAATGAAGCGCTGGATTAAATGGACAGTAATCAGGTTGAGCTTTAAAGTGCAGAAACAAACACAGAGTCCAAAGTTCTTCATCATCTAACAAGTGAAGACGACGTGAGAGCTGCACAGAGATGATCACAGAACTGAAAGGGAAACACGCTGGTTTAATCTGCAGGACTTCATGGAGGGTTGAGTGTTGTCGGGTAAAAGGGGCCGATACCGATGTAGATGTTAAGAGCTGGAGAAGATGCATCAGATGAACTGTGCAGGAACTAAAGAGACGTTCTTCATTTCTGTCCTCTGTGCAGCCATCAGACGTCTTCATGAGAACCTCGAGGAGCTTTCCTCCGCTCCTCAAACAGAACAACGAGTGGTTTTATTTCTTAGGTGAGCAGCGTATAAAAATAAACTTTATGTTACAAAGAGGAGGTGCTGAATGTTGTCTAGTTGGGAGTCAATGACACTAAAAAAGGTCAAACGCCAACAAATCCAGAGCTGTTCTTCATGAAACCGTTTAAGTTGCTTCTTCAAGCTCAAAACTGTGAAGACACATTAAGATTCATAAAAACAAGCCAGCGATACTTGGTCATCACGTAGCGTCAGCGAGCGAAATGCAGTTTAAACTGTTGACTTTCTACACAGAAAGCGTCTCATGGAGGTCCACTTATTAGCTTCCACCTGACACATCTAGTGAGACAACACGCTTCATGCTTATACGTCCAACGTTATAAACGTGTTAAGACACAAAATACAAAACAATTCATCGGTTTCCTCGGAAGACGAGATATTTAGAGTTAAAAAATGAGTGTCACTCAAAAAACATCCCTCTGTGTTTTTTAGTTTGTGTCTTTACGTCACATGTGGAACAAACAGCTGATGGTTGACTCCGCCCCTCAGCGACGAGCGAATCAGATCTGCTGCAGAGGTGAAGCCCCGCCCCCTCTGCCGCCCCACGTTTCATATTTTAGTTTCACCGTTTAATGCACAAAAGATATTTCTCAATTTGAAAGATCATTTTGTGAGTGAAGAAAATGGTAGTTTGGTTTTGTGTGAAACATTGAAATGTTATAATATTAATAATAATAATATTGACAAAGAGGAAGAAACGGGGTCGACCTTTAGAAACCATCAACTGGCCCCAAACACAACAAACTGTCCAACTGGTGGAAGAAGCAGAATTCTCCTCCTGTTTGTTACGACAAACGATAAAAAATAAGAAAACTGTTTGGGGCCAAAACAAAAAATAACGGTTTACAAATGTTACACAAACTGTGTGATGTGCGTACAGACACACATAGTGTTAAAAGTAGCAATACTTGACAAAATAGCTCATACAAAACTTCCATACGTGAACCTACATTTATTTAGCGTTTCTGCTTCACTAGAATCAGCGAAGAGAAGCTTTGAATCTGTAAGTGAGCAGAGAGGAGAATTAATTAATAATATAAACGATTTAAAGAAAAGAAGCAGAGACATTTCACCTGAACTCTTCCGTCTCTCGGAGGACAAATGGATCAATCTGAGATGGTCCAAGAAAAAGAAGAAGTGTCTCATCACGTCCTCCAGGAAATAAAATCCCAGATGAGACAAAAGATCTGCAGCGTATAAAACTATTAACTGTTCATCCAGCTGAAGTTATGAAAAGGTGAATGAACACGTTAAACATCTGTTATCGGGTGAAAAGTTGAGCCGCTTTAAAGGATCGAGACGCACAAAGCTCAGTTACAGAGGTAATAAAGTGTTTCCTCTTCAGGAGCACCAAGGAGCCGACGCCGAACCAGACCCATAAGTGGAGTCAGAACTCCACAGCTGGTCGTGGTTCTGGTCCCCTCCTCGCTGCCTGGAGGTCCGGTGGGGGCCGCCGGCGCGTCACTGGTCCCGAGCTTCGTACAGCAGCTTTGCCGCCTGAGAGGAGAAGAAGAAGATGATGATGATGATGATGATGATGAAACCACACGTTCACACCACAGATTCAGTCAAAGGACCTGCAGCTTCACCAGCAGCTCATATGGAGGCAATTTTAAAGTTTTCTACAGTCATTTAATGTTGTAAATTGTTTGATTCCATGAGAAATGTAGTTAATGCTGCTTCTGTCACACTGCTTATTTTGCACAGCGTACTTAACAGGAAGTGCTTTTATTTTGTGAAAGAAAGGAAGTGGCATGACGTTGTCTTCGCTTGATGTAAACTATAACATAAGAAACATATAGAACATAAGTAAAAAGGTTACTGTTCAATACAAGACGTGTTCGGGTCATTATTAGAAACATTTAATGAATTAATACAATTATAATAATACAAAAAGTGACATTAACGCATCATTGTTTGTTTGGAGTTCTTGATTTTTGACCAAAACTACTGAGAAGTCGACAGCTTGAAGCGTCTTGAAGTGAAGGACGGCTGCAAAATATTATTCACATCATCTTTAAACTGTAGAACAACAACATTATCATCATCATGTTTCCACGTCTGTGGCGATGCACGGGGCGATAAAGTCTATGATAAATAAACAAACAAACAAATAAATAAATAGACGTGACTCTCTAGGTCGTCTTCAACAAAACACGTCACTCCGCCTGTTGTTCTGACGGTGAATCGCGGGACCAGGCTGAGGCCCCATCTGGATAAACTGAGTCAGGTATGTTTGATGTATCTTCTGCAGGAAGACAGATCTACTGTGTGTCACAGTTTCACACACATTCTGCCCCTGTCCTAGACAACACACATTCTCACTCTCTGTAACATACTTCTCCTTTCCACACGTGGAAACAAACCACTGCTCCTTGCAAGTATTCGTATCTTCTGACATGATAGTATATTGTGTACAAATTATTGTTTGCAACTGATGCTATTACTCCTTTCACAGAACCCAAGCACTGACATGAGACGTGACGCAGTTATCCGTGGCCTCATACTATTCCTTGGTGAAAAAGAAGAGAAACTTTTCGAAGATTGCCTGGTAAACCACGTTTTCTTTCTAAAATAATTTTTTGTCTCTTTACTTGAGTACGATATCTATGGGTGATTTTAATATATTTTTTTGCACCAAAGTAGTATTTAACCACCAAATTTAATTTTTTTTTACTTAGGCATAACTTTTAAATACGTTTTACAACACTTCTTGTAATAGTCTATAGAAGGCTGGTATTCCTACTCTTGAATTGTTGTCAACTAAATAGTTTTCTTTTTTCTTGTGAATTTCATGCAGGAGGACAATCGCAGTGATGCCACTCAACACATAGTCAAGATCCTGGTTGTCCATGGTACTGATGGAGAAGAACCAGTAGATGTTTCCATCATTCTTGAAGGGAAGGAGGTATTGACACGATGCAACAGCACAGCCAAAGCTTCCACGTTGCTAATGGGACTGATTTATTCCCCGAACCTTGCCTACCCCTCGACTCTGCGCTACACCTTTGAGGTGTTTCAAAAACTTTTCCTGGAACTGAATGGGATAAAGCTGTCACCAAAAGTACATCTTTAAAGTTGAAGTTGCTGTCTGAAAGGAGTTTTCTTTCTTAAATGTTCCTAATGTTGTCAACAAAGGCAACTGCTGTCATTCATGCTCACAAGGTAAAGAAAAAGTTAAAAATAACCTTTTTTTTAAAAGGTTTTAACAGAGGATTTGATGTTGTCCTCAAACTTTAATGTTTTAACCGAATGCTAATATAAATATGTTAATGGATGTTGTTGTTTAGAATGTTGTTCATGTCAGTACAGCATATTTTGTCAGGTCAAACCCTCAATCTGTTTTGTCACCTGATGTGCCCTGTTTAGTTTAATGCGTCCAGGGGTCAAAAACATTTTGATTTTCCAGTGATATGCTTTTTTTCTGTATAGCGTAATGATCACTCAGTAAAGGTAAACATTTTTTCTTGATTGATGCTTTATTGATTTACTGCTGCTGAGATTTCATTTAATTTTTTGTCATGTGAAATGTTGACTGCTGTTTCATGTACAGTTCTACATAGCTGTATAAAATGAGGTGTTACGTAAGGTACCTGACAAAGGTTTATGAATAAATAATGGAATTGTATTTTAGCCGTGTGATTATTAATAGTATTTGGTAATATTTATCAAAAGAGAATTTGCAACATTTACATAAATGAATTAGGTAATATAACTTCAAACAACCAAGTAATTAAAATGATCAAACAGAATAAAAAGTACTTGATAATTTTACGACAGTAAATATCAAAGATAAATAAAATCTACTCAATATTTTGATGTTGTAAATGTATATGTATACAAAAAATATAGTATATTGTACTTAATTTGTGTGTGTAATAAAAATTGAAACATCAGTTAAACTAAGTAACACTTACCTAATATTTTCACAAATGTTACCATCAGAAATAAGTAGATTTTACTTAATACTATTAAGGAACTTTTACTGGATATCACAGCAGTAAAATTTACTCAAAAATTTTGAGTGCAAATTGTTACGAGGATTTTTTTAAGTAAATGTTAGTTGTCGTTTTTTTCAGTGACTCAACACCTAAAGAACAACGTGTCATACTTCTGACGCGTACTTCTACCCTGTGGTATTGCTTCTTTTCCTGGTACTTCCAGTACATTCTGATTGTAATACATGTATATAAAAGCTGATATTCCACTTATATGCATTTCACTTGTACAGAGTACACAGTGTGCAACTGCTACTTTTACTTTGGGTACTTTCAGTACATTGTGATAGAAGTACTTCTAAAATAGACGTGTGTACTTCCAACAGAGTATTTCTACAGTGTGTCACTGATACTTCTACTGGTACTTTCAGTATATTGGGATAGAAGTACTTCTAAAATAGACGTGTGTACTTCCAACAGAGTATTTCTACAGTGTGTCACTGATACTTCTACTGGTACTTTCAGTATACTGGGTTAGAAGTACTTCTAAAATAGACGTGTGTACTTCCAACAGAGTATTTCTACAGTGTGTCACTGATACTTCTACTGGTACTTTTAGTATATTTAGATAAAAGTACTTTCATACCAAAGTATGAATAAAAAAAACCCACAAGCCTTACTTGTAACAGAGTATTTCTACCCTGTGCTACTGCTACCTTTATCATAATAAAGGTACTTTTACACAGTAGTACTGTGCTCTGCTGCCGGTAGCCGGTTAGCTACGTGGCACTCACGCCGGGGCTCGCCGGCCTCTCCTCCCCCAGCCGGCCGAGCAGAGTCGTGATGCGAAGATACGAAAAGTATCTCAATATTTTGACTTTGTAAGCATGACCAGGGTAATTGCAACATATGTGAGTGGTGAGAAGAATAAGCCAGACGTTCCTTCTTTCATTAAATGTAACTTCATCACATTTCTTTATTGAATAGAGATCAAAGGTTAATTGGTTTTATCTTCCCAAATCTGGAGAGGTCGCTTGTTTCCTGTTCTTGTGACGTCCCGGGCGGGCGGAGCACGAATCCTCTTCACAATATTCAGCGGTGATGGTGGTTTCTTCCATTCTGGACCTCTAGAAATTTGGTCGACCTCTTCCCTCGGAGTGGTGCCCTGTGTAGGTGTAAATGTGCCGTTGTGAGGTAACGGAAGCACAACCATTCTTTGTGATTACACACTGAATACACGTACTTATTGGTATTATGTGTGTTTATTGTGGAGGTTCAGTGGGCTCAGAACACCAAGCGACCCTTTTGAGAGTCTGAATGAAGTTACATCTTATGGTGAGTAAAAGCTTACTGGTAAAAGGACTTCCCACTGGGATCTCCAAATAGACCTTTAATCTGCGGCAAATAACAAGTTATTGTTACTTGGCATGAAACTGGACATTGACAGCAGCATGATTTATATATGATGACAGCGTGTGGAACAAGGCAGCAGAAGTGATACAGAATGTAATAATGTGTAATATGTGAAATGTTCATATGAGGTCATTAAACGCTTTTACCTGTGAGATGGGGAAGTCATTCCGTTTCTCTCCGTGTAGAGATCTTCTGATGGTTTCACAGTTCTTGACACCATGAGGGCTCTAGAAGAAAGAAGATCACACAAACATTTAAACATCTCACGTTGGTCTCTGAAAGGATCCTCAGTCACTTTATTGTGGAGGTTTAAAAGCAGGAAGGACGTCTGTGTGTGTTTCCTGTTCTTTAACCACATCAACAACAACATCAGTAACAAAGTACTTTATATTACCCTGAATAATATTAATATATCACTAGTCAGAGTGAGTGGACAACATGGATCAATGTAAACTAATAAACAACCACCAGTTAATAAATTAGATATTTAGGATTATTTGACTTCCAGACACATCATGTGATGATGCACAGAAACTATAAATCAAGTCGTGTCAAATAACTCACATCAGCAGGAACAATATTGCCATGATCCCTGTGTGTTCTGCACAGTCTGGTCTCTACTGCAGCTCTGAGATGTACACAACACACACACACACACACACACACACACCACACACACACACACACACACACACACACACACAGTTAAAAATGAGTTGGACATCGGGGAAAAAAACATTTGACTCCAGAAATCTGCTTTCAATGTCAATTTTATTTATTTAGCACTTCTAAAGGCCAAAGTGATTTACAGGATAAAATAATCAGCAGCAAAAAACAAAACGAGCAAAAGTAAAACAACAAACAAGAAAAAACAGTAAAAGGCAAACAAATAAAAGGCCGATACAGGAGACTTCACTCAGCCAAGGACAAGGTAAACAAGAGGGTCTTAAGGCGACTTTTAAAAGTAGAAAGGTCGCAGACTGCACAGACAACGGGAAGCAGTCCGAGGTGTGGAGCTGAAGAATAAAAGAAGCAGATCGATTCTATCGAAATTAAACCATTCAGCATTAAAACAGAAAATAAACCGCTCGGTGAGAACATGTAGAATAGATTTGATGTGTAAAACACGCGGTCACGATACCTTCGTTGGTGGGAAACAAGCTGCATCTGCGGCGGAGGGAAAGAAGAACCCGTTGGTATGTTAACCACGTGAGACCGGTTTGGTGACTTAACAACCGGTTTGTTCTCTACTGGAAAGGGAGCCTATTCTCAACATGTTCCTCATTCAAACCAACTTCACTAACGACTTGAAGGGACATAATAAATTACACATATGCATGTGTATGAATATTTACTTTACATTAATGCAGTGTTGTACTTCTACTAAGTTTAAGACAAATACATTGTACCTTGTACTTCACTATTTATACGTGATACAAAACCTGCGAAGAGCTTTTAAAACATACTTTGTTATAATAAACTACTCAACATGATTCACAACCAGAGCGGAAACAATTAGTCGTTTCGTCGATTTGATGAAATAAGAAATGGAAAATCTTTTGATGTTGAAGGAAAAACATTTATCAAACTTTTTATGTTCAGTTTCTACATTTTAATCTTCAGGTGATTTGGGGCAAACGTCTTTTCGGAGTTTCTATTCTGGCTGTTAAAGTAACACCTCCACTATTAGTGAAGTTGAAAGTTAAATATTTGAAGGACATATTCCGTATTTTAACGTTTCTCAGGAAGCTGAAGCTCCTGAACCAAAGACTTTATCCTCAGTCGATGTTTCTCTTCAGTTTATCCGCTAAAATAAACTTTTCCAAAAGACACAATCGACACGACAAAATATACAAACACTTGATTTTTATTCCCAAGAGAAAAATCCAACAAAGTGTTTTGGTAAATGAAGCGCTGGATTAAATGGACAGTAATCAGGTTGAGCTTTAAAGTGCAGAAACAAACACAGAGTCCAAAGTTCTTCATCATCTAACAAGTGAAGACGACGTGAGAGCTGCACAGAGATGATCACAGAACTGAAAGGGAAACACGCTGGTTTAATCTGCAGGACTTCATGGAGGGTTGAGTGTTGTCGGGTAAAAGGGGCCGATACCGATGTAGATGTTAAGAGCTGGAGAAGATGCATCAGATGAACTGTGCAGGAACTAAAGAGACGTTCTTCATTTCTGTCCTCTGTGCAGCCATCAGACGTCTTCATGAGAACCTCGAGGAGCTTTCCTCCGCTCCTCAAACAGAACAACGAGTGGTTTTATTTCTTAGGTGAGCAGCGTATAAAAATAAACTTTGTTACAAAGAGGAGGTGCTGAATGTTGTCTAGTTGGGAGTCAATGACACTAAAAAAGGTCAAACGCCAACAAATCCAGAGCTGTTCTTCATGAAACCGTTTAAGTTGCTTCTTCAAGCTCAAAACTGTGAAGACACATTAAGATTCATAAAAACAAGCCAGCGATACTTGGTCATCACGTAGCGTCAGCGAGCGAAATGCAGTTTAAACTGTTGACTTTCTACACAGAAAGCGTCTCATGGAGGTCCACTTATTAGCTTCCACCTGACACATCTAGTGAGACAACACGCTTCATGCTTATACGTCCAACGTTATAAACGTGTTAAGACACAAAATACAAAACAATTCATCGGTTTCCTCGGAAGACGAGATATTTAGAGTTAAAAAATGAGTGTCACTCAAAAAACATCCCTCTGTGTTTTTTAGTTTGTGTCTTTACGTCACATGTGGAACAAACAGCTGATGGTTGACTCCGCCCCTCAGCGACGAGCGAATCAGATCTGCTGCAGAGGTGAAGCCCCGCCCCCTCTGCCGCCCCACGTTTCATATTTTAGTTTCACCGTTTAATGCACAAAAGATATTTCTCAATTTGAAAGATCATTTTGTGAGTGAAGAAAATGGTAGTTTGGTTTTGTGTGAAACATTGAAATGTTATAATATTAATAATAATAATATTGACAAAGAGGAAGAAACGGGGTCGACCTTTAGAAACCATCAACTGGCCCCAAACACAACAAACTGTCCAACTGGTGGAAGAAGCAGAATTCTCCTCCTGTTTGTTACGACAAACGATAAAAAATAAGAAAACTGTTTGGGGCCAAAACAAAAAATAACGGTTTACAAATGTTACACAAACTGTGTGATGTGCGTACAGACACACATAGTGTTAAAAGTAGCAATACTTGACAAAATAGCTCATACAAAACTTCCATACGTGAACCTACATTTATTTAGCGTTTCTGCTTCACTAGAATCAGCGAAGAGAAGCTTTGAATCTGTAAGTGAGCAGAGAGGAGAATTAATTAATAATATAAACGATTTAAAGAAAAGAAGCAGAGACATTTCACCTGAACTCTTCCGTCTCTCGGAGGACAAATGGATCAATCTGAGATGGTCCAAGAAAAAGAAGAAGTGTCTCATCACGTCCTCCAGGAAATAAAATCCCAGATGAGACAAAAGATCTGCAGCGTATAAAACTATTAACTGTTCATCCAGCTGAAGTTATGAAAAGGTGAATGAACACGTTAAACATCTGTTATCGGGTGAAAAGTTGAGCCGCTTTAAAGGATCGAGACGCACAAAGCTCAGTTACAGAGGTAATAAAGTGTTTCCTCTTCAGGAGCACCAAGGAGCCGACGCCGAACCAGACCCATAAGTGGAGTCAGAACTCCACAGCTGGTCGTGGTTCTGGTCCCCTCCTCGCTGCCTGGAGGTCCGGTGGGGGCCGCCGGCGCGTCACTGGTCCCGAGCTTCGTACAGCAGCTTTGCCGCCTGAGGAGAGAAGAAGAAGAAGAAGAAGAAGAAGATGATGATGATGATGAAACCACACGTTCACACCACAGATTCAGTCAAAGGACCTGCAGCTTCACCAGCAGCTCATATGGAGGCAATTTTAAAGTTTTCTACAGTCATTTAATGTTGTAAATTGTTTGATTCCATGAGAAATGTAGTTAATGCTGCTTCTGTCACACTGCTTATTTTGCACAGCGTACTTAACAGGAAGTGCTTTTATTTTGTGAAAGAAAGGAAGTGGCATGACGTTGTCTTCGCTTGATGTAAACTATAACATAAGAAACATATATAACATAAGTAAAAAGGTTACTGTTCAATACAAGACGTGTTCGGGTCATTATTAGAAACATTTAATGAATTAATACAATTATAATAATACAAAAAGTGACATTAACGCATCATTGTTTGTTTGGAGTTCTTGATTTTTGACCAAAACTACTGAGAAGTCGACAGCTTGAAGCATCTTGAAGTGAAGGACGGCTGCAAAATATTATTCACATCATCTTTAAACTGTAGAACAACAACATCATCATCATGTTTCCACGTCTGTGGCGATGCACGGGGCGATAAAGTCTATGATAAATAAACAAACAAACAAATAAATAGACGTGACTCTCTAGGTCGTCTTCAACAAAACACGTCACTCCGCCTGATGTTCTGACGGTGAATCGCTCTGCGACACACGCAGAACCATGAATGGAAACGAGAAAACAGACGCAGAAACATGCGCCGGCCTGAAGTGTTCCAGCAAAAAACCACCACACGCCGTGAGCTCCGGCAGGCTGCAGTTACGCCTCGCCGCCACGGGGGGCGCCAGAGACCCCGGATAAAAGCGCCGCAGGAGACTCTGACGTCAGCACCAACAGACATGAATAAAAACACGGCACCTTGTGCATCGCCGCCAGCCACAGCGCCGCCGCCTTCCTGTCGTCCGCCGCCTCCACGCGCAGCTGCTGAGGCTCCTGGGAGCCCGCCGGCTTGAAGTGGAGCAGCATGCCGTTAGCGCGCGACGACCCTCCTGCACGCACACACACACACACACACAAAAGAGTGATGGATGCAAGTGAACAAGCCGGATGTGTGTTTTGTCCATCAGGCAGGAGGAAGATTGAAGTCTTCAGCTCGGTAACATTTGGAAGCGACTTTCCTCCACAAAGAACTCGCCTCACTTTGAGGTTTAACGAGTTTGACACTTTCTCAACACAGAGAAATGAGGTTTCATTTCATCTTCTGCAGATTATTTAATGATTGTTAAACTACAGAAAAAACAAATGCTTTGTTAGTTTCATGTCCAGAGAGAACATCAATACTGAATAATATCATAAGAAACGTGCTTCATAAATAAACTTGCACTAGGTTAAAAATAATGAACACGTGCAGAATCACACAGATGCAACAAACAAATGTAACAAAAAATTAAGAGAAATGATTAGTGAAAGAGGATGTTTTTCAAAATAAAAGGGCGCATCAAAAAGGATGCTGAGAGGAGGGGAGAACGTGCACTACGGGGAATAAAGGGACTTTGGTGGTTGGTTGTTCACTAAGACACCATTTGGGACGGAGTGAGACATAAAAACATAAAGAGTATTTGGGGATTAGATTCCATGCACAGAAGATGAAAATCAAAGAGTGACGAGCGAGTCGACAGTGAGACGCTGACCTTCAGACAGAAACTGAGTGTCCAGCAGACTGGTGTAAGTGTGAATGTCCTTCTCTGCGTCCAGAGGAGGAAGAGCAGCAGAGGACAAAGAGCTTGTTAGTGAAGACGTTCATCAACGTGTTCCCTCCGCCGGTTAGTGGATTCATCTCCGGGGACTCAAACCTCCTCGTCACGGCAACGGAAAGAGTCGCCGACATCCAGCCGACTCGCGAGTCGTCTCACCTGCGGGACTCGAGCCGTCCGTCAGGATCTGCATGCTGGAGATGCGGGACAGCTCCACCTCGAAGTGACTCTCCCCGTCCAGGAACAGGTACCTGCAGCCGGGTCACGGGAACAAATCCTCTCGTGACTTCATTCAAAATGTATTCTGGGTTTTTACATTAGTTATTTAAATACAATTCGCAGAAAAGCAATAACCTATTTTTATTAAAACGTGTTGGTATTGAGAGTGAAGTTATGTGTAAAATAAATGCGGAGGGTTCTTTGTTGGTTAAACTCGCCTGTGGTTGTTGGAGAGGCGACACGTCATCGCTTCAGACTTCTCCGACGTTCCCAAAGTGACGACGAAGCTTCCGCCTGAAAACACGAGAACACGCGTGTTGAGCAGAGAGGACGGATCACGTGGAAATCACCAGTCGGTATATTCGCAAGTGCAATATCCGCTAAAAGGCTAAATGTTTGTAGATGAACATTGTGTTGTTGTAGATGACGTCATGGCTTTTACACGCCAAACTCTACAGAATTAAGAATTAAGGGTCTTTTTCTTTCTTGTCTCTAACTAATATCTGAAAAACTGTCATTTGGATTATTGACGATCCAAATAAATCGTTTATCAAGAAATGAATTAAAGTGAATTATTCTTTGGTTCCAGTTCCTCACATGAGGATTTATTTGTAGAGCTCCCATCACATCGTATTGATATAAGAGCATCTTGTAGAGATTTACGGCTTCGTATCTTTGGTGTATTGACCTCTCATCAGTAAAGCAGGAGACTGCTGATGGATGTTTTATAAGAAGCTTCCTGCTGCTGCGTATTTAAAGCTGCACACGGACGATCGGGGCGACACAGATGATTTCTATTGTGTTTCTGCTTCCCGTGCGCAGTGACGGTGGGTCACATGACACGTGTCACGGGACACGTCATCAGGTCACACATTCAGCCCTCCTGCAAAATTGGGATGGATTCAAAAACATGGGGTTTCCTCTCTCTTTATTTTTTTAAAGGGAGAAAAAAACACATGCTTTTATTTTCATCGCTGCAGATTTCTAAATAAATGGAATAAAGTGCGCTGAACTGCTCACCCCCCAGGAGCACTTTGACCTGCTTGTCGTAGAACTCCGCCTCCTTCTGGGAGTTCAGGCTGCACTCGGCACATTGCCGCACCGGGTCCACGAAGCACATGCGGGGCAGCGCCACCTTCTTACTGCAGCATTTATCACAGAAGCACCGGCCGCACCGCCGGCAGTGATGCTGCAGAGAGAAAGATGTGGGGGGGGGGGGTCACAAATACCGACCCAGCTGCGTGACAATAACACATAAAACAGTAATGACGCCCATGCAGACTCCAGAATGTGTGACTTTAGTCCCAGTTTGGGCAGAAAGTGTTTATTCGACCCAAAGTCTGACATCAGATGTGCTGAAGTCATCTGGTGTGACGGCCGGAGAGAAAACGTTGAGCACTTTTACCCAAAAGGTGGTGAATTAAAGAGTTTGTCCAGAATAACGTGAATCATGAGAACAACAGACGACGTTCAGTGGAAAAGAAAAGTATTTATTTGGCTGTAAGTCCAGATACAGCCATTTGATTTTTTTAAATGAAGAAAGATCAGAGGAGCAGATGTTCAGCGTTGTCACGGCACCAGTCGTTGGAAAGAAACGTGACTCGATGCCAAAGAAGATCAACAGAAGCCGAGAGGGGAAATAAATCCGCTCACGTTTTACAGGCGCAATAAAAGACTCAAAATTCTTCAGTTAACTCGCGCGCGTCTCTCGTCTGCTTGTTTTGTTCCCAGAGAGATTAAGCTGTCATTTGTCGCCACGGAAACGAAACCGACCTTTCGTCTGATGAAGTCGAACTTGGTGTCACACTGCATACATCTCGGGCACTGAGACGGGAAAGAGACAAACAGGAAGTTACACAACGTGCTGAGTCGGATCATCAGCAGAGACACACATTTCCTCCCAAAATGATTTCAATCCATTGCAAAACAATGTGGCGCAATAATTTAAGGATGCCTCACTAATTGTTAGTATACTAAATGTTTCAGCTATGAATCTTCATTTTTATTGTAGGTTTATTTTTTCTCCAGGTTCTAATGTGAGAGGAGACAATACAAACTAAAATATCCACATACAATAAATAATACTGTGATAGATCGTTCCCCGTTAGATCAGAAACGATGTCTGCTGTAGAACATTTACAACCTTAAAGAGTTTGTCATTTTCTATCATAATGGTGCGTTTGATTTGCTTTCTACCTTCACCTCCATAAAGCCTGTGCATATCAACCGAACCACTTTACGAACAGTTCTAATGGGCTTACATTGTAATACTGAGCAGATGAACCAGCAGCAGAGAGATTATTAACTTTGTCTGCTCAAAGTGCCTCTTTGTGTTGTTTGTCCTGTTGACACAAGCGCACAGAGCGCTGCTAGCATAGCAGCTAGCCACAACGCCGCTAGCTAACTAACCAACCGCTTCGTTCGTAACGATCTACAGGGAAGATAAAGCATCGTAACTCTGCGTGGCAGCTGGTTGTGGCAGTAAACTAGCAGCTTGTGGTGATAAATAAATGTGAGCTGCCGGGCGAGCTGTGCAACGCCCAGTACCGGGCTAACAGCGATGTCCAGCGGCACGTCCAGCTAGCCGCAATTAGCACGGAGTGAACCGGATGTTAGGGGGCCGTCCCTCGAAAGTAAAAGCGCTTTAGCGGCGACACATTGATGTCACATAGTGATTAAAGGCAATAATAGTACATTTACCCAGGTATTATTCTTTTTAAGATACTAACACTTTTCTTGACTATTTACATGGTCTGGTCTGGTAGATATTGTATTTGACTACACAACACATTATTTTGTTGATTGAAGTTATAAATATAATATATTACCAACTGAATCATTCATCATAAACCAAGCTCTCAAGAAGAGATTTTGATATTTTATAACTTTACCTTTACGTTTTTATAACTTTACCTTGCTTATTATTGCACCACTGAAATTCATATGTTGCCATGAATTGCCTCCCAATTGAAGGACGCGGTTAATAAAGTTATGTTACTGGCATGTGCGAAATACTTTACTAAAATTAGAAAATTGCGCAATATGTGGAACAATTTCTGAAAGGCTCACTTAATAACACGCACACAAAACACACAATATATATATTGACTATATCGCTACCCTTTAGAAACTAAAAACTTTTAATCGTTTAATTTCCTTTATTTTGAAACGCTCAACCGGAATAGCTCTGTTGAGCTAACGTTAGCTTATCGCTAGTGTCCGAAGCTTCGATACCGTTCTGGCTTTAAACCCGAATCTTCCCCGCGATGTCTCACCTCTTTGTCCGGGACCCACTGCGGCTCCTCCAGGGAGAAAGGGCTGCTGAAGGCGCCGTTTTCCGGCACCATGCGAAGCCCGCTGGGGCTCCGGACGAGCTTCTTTCCATCGGGTACCGCAGACATTTCCCCCCGTTAAGCAGCCGCCTCTCTTCTTCTTGTTAAAATCGGGACTCCCGACAGCCACGAAGTCTGGTGTGGACACGCCTCCCACGAATGATTGACAGGGGGATGGACGAATCAGGGCCACGTCACGTGGCCTCTTCTTGGGTAATGATGTTTTGGTTTTTACAACTACGCCCATAAAAACACATTGGCGCGAGCGAGAGAATTGGGATTTATTCAGTATTATTTATGCTTATGTTTATTAAACTGCTGCTGCTCAACGTAAAGTCCTCGTGTGTTTGTTTTGTTTGATTAATGTATCACACTTTATTTTTTCTATAGAAAATTTGAAATAATAAAGTATAAATAAATAAAGAAGAGCTACAATTTTTAAAAATCGTATTGTGTTTAAAAGCAGCAATTCAAATGTTTGTTTTTTGGTTACTTAAGGTTGCATAAAAATATTCCACACAAAAAGTATCTCGTTAAATATACACTTAACAAGAACGGCCCTAACCGTACTGTACACCCACATGTGATACTTTATTCTATGATATTTTACTCAGCTGTTATGAAAAAGTACAATATCTGCTTCTAAAATAGATAATAAATAAATCATAACGATGAAAAATAGCTAAAATTGAATCAACTCAGAATTGTTCCACATTTAATCAGATATTAAAAATCACAGAAGAAACGTCACGAATTTGAGCATTTTATTGAAACACATTTAAAACTAAAATAACATCAGTTTGCAGACAAACGTCCTCACGTGAAGTTAGAACAGGTTTGCATGTTTCTGCTGAGATCTGCTGGTGCTCTATTACACTGTTATTACTGTCTAACGACGCCACAGCCAGAGGAATGTGCGGTCGACCTGCACATCTGGGAGGACGAGTCATGAATGCCAGTTTCATCCAGGAGCATTTTCCACACGGGACGCGACGCCGCTTTGCAGGAAGCACAGCGGGCTCACAAAGATTTAACATGAACATTTAAAAAAGTAAGAACAAAAACAACCCCACATTCAATATTGTGTCTCCCTGTTGTTCCCGTTTTAAAAAAACGTAGATTTCACAGGCCGGACGTCACGGCGTGGAGCCGTGGGCGACGAAGGGGCAGGGCCCGATGCGTTGCCATGGTAACTAGGATGCTATATAAACACACGAGAGGATCTATGATGTGACCAGAATGATGCTTTGATAAACTTTATAATAAAACCGTAAATATTGACTTTAATAACTGACACCGTTTCCGTGGCAGGACGTGAGCAGAATATTATATTTCTCGGGGTTGATAATCTTTTAAAGAGTAAAATATAAAGGACGGACTGAGAGGTTTTTACCTCCATAGAGAATCCAGAGATTTCATAAAGCCGTTAAATTTACATTCACCTCATCTTAATCACGCAGAAAAAGTCTTGTTGGTTCATTGAAAACTGCTTAGAAGTCATTTTAAGTTCTAAGAGCACAGCATAGTATGTGTACACACACACACACACACACACACACACACACACACACACACACACACAGGGATACTAAAGATGACGGATTCGATTTTTTTTTTTTTAACAACCAAGTTTCTTTTAAACTTCTTTTAAGCCTTTAAAATGTAGGAATTTCTATTATGAAATTGATTCAATAGTGAATATTTATATGAATTTCTAGCTTTTGAATCTTTTGTTTTCAAACATTAGATTACGTCTGTACATCAGTTTATGGCCCTAAAAGTTGCCCGGTTCATTAGAACCAGCAAAGTAGTAAAGTTATGTGCCGCGTTACTTTGTGGAACAATAAGACAACGATTTAAAAAAGACCGATCAACGGTCAACAAGAAGCTTCACCTCACTCGACTCTGTGACGTCAAGAAATTCATTGCTATCAAGGAAAACAGTATTTTAACATTTCAAAAATCACTTTGACTGAATTATCGCACTCACAAAAGTAAAAGTAACCTTTTTCAAATCATCAAATCTATTCATCTTACATATTTACACTTTGAGTCTTTCAGCTGCTAATAAAAGGGATTTTTAATAAAACAATATTTTTGGACTGCAAATAAATTCCCAACTTCCCTCCGGATATTAATTCATTTTCATCAAATCAGAATCAAGTGAGTTGTTTTCCAAACAAAGAGATTACGGTTTGTCTCAGCAGTGAAACTGGATTTAAGAGTTCAGATGAAATTTGCAGCTTTTCTTTCTATTAAATGCCAGTAAATTTAATTTATTTGAGTTTAGCAACGTTGCTCTTTGTCTGAAGTCTGTTTTGAGTGATGCAAAATCAACTTTGCTATTTTGGTTTTGAAGCAACATGTTTCCTTCTTATTCGGTCAGTAAATTAATTATGTATCTTTTAAATCACACTTTTGATTTCAAAGTGAATCGCTGATATACGGTGATATATCTTTGTTAAATGATATCTAATGTAGCTTCGGGAGGAATAGTCCCGCTTATTTTTGGTTAAAACCAATAGATATTTTTTACATTTGCATCTTAAATCACCGGAATAATTCTTGCACAATAATGAGTATTTTTAAATAAATCATAATTTGCACTTTTTGGTTGAATTCCTTTCGACTTTACCAACATGGTAAAGAGTTGTCTTGAATAAACAATAAAACACCCGGAAGTAACAATGGATGCTGTAACAGTTCCTCCATTAATGTGTAAAAGTGTGGAGTGGCTTTAGCTTCAGCTTCATCTTTAGCCATAGCTTAGCTTAGCTTTAGTTTCAGGTTTATCTTATCTTCAGCTTAAGCTTCAGTGCGTGAAAGTACAGCGTCGGTCCTCAATGCGCTGTAGTTCTCAAGGGCCGTGTTTTAGTTTTTTTACAGGAAGATATTAAGATAAACTCTTCAAAGCAGCGAGAAAAAACAAAACATAATTTACAAAAAAAACCCTCAAATGTAAACATAGAACCTCATACAGAAACAAGCGAGATCATCACAGGACGGAACATTTTGGGAAAGAGGTGCGGCTCCCAACGTGTCCATTACGGGTCAACGCAGAAAATATAGTGTTTTGGATTCAAGTAACCCGGTTCGGAACTTTCATTGGAAACCTGCAGAGGGAGAGCGCTACGCTAACGCCTGCCGGCTACGCTAACGCCTGCCGGCTACGCTAACGCTTACCGGCTACGCAAACGCCGGGTCGGCCTCCAGAGACACGTCATTGCCGGACGAGTCCTCAGGTGCTAAAAACCTCATTCTGCATCTCTCGTTGCTTAAGTTAAGCTTGAGTGGGGAAACGAGGTTTGTTAAAGCATCAATAGATCAGTAATTAAAGAGCTCACTGTCCACTATCCACTATTGGATAAAAGCGTCCGCTAAATGACATGTAATGTAATGTAATCAGCCTGCAACTTTGCTTTTCAAAGTTGACAACTTTTGACAAAAAAATTCCATTAATGAGTTCATCGACAGTTCAAATAAATACAAGTGTAGTGAATATTTGTCTCGTACTGGAAAACGCCGTCGTCATGACAACCATCAGGTCTTCCTCTACGACGTATTCAGCGACCAAAAGGAAAACTCGTGGACTCCAAACACAAAGAAGACGAATAACGTTTTTTTCGACTCTTTTATCGACTGAAATACAGTCGTGTTTATGTAAATCTCAACCGAATTTCTAGAGGGTGCAAATGTTTCCCGTCTCTTGGCGTGACGTCATCAGGACGAGCACGAGAGCACCGAGGTGAACGGATGAGCTCGTCGACGTCACTGATAAACTGGACCAACGAGCCGAGAGAAACAGGTTTAAACTCTGCATTAAATATTTAAAAAGGACTGATTGGACCTCACACACGTAACAGTACATACAGCGCGCACACACACACACACACACACACACACACACACACACACACACACACACACACACAGCAGCACTGTGCACGTTCCTCTTGTTGTGCAGTCAATTAAGAAACAAAGTGCAGCGACACAGACACACTTGATGGTGAGACGCTCCTTAACGAGGGGGAGGGTCTGGACAGGAAGTGATCTCACAGGCTCCGCCCCTCACAGCCTGCTGGGGTCAAGCTGACCTTCAGCGCGGCAGGTCACTGTGGCTGGTGCTCAGGTCTCGACTCTTTCTCAGATGATTATTTCGTTCCTGGGGGAAAAAATAAAACAGAAATTAGACAAACTGAATTTTTTAAGAAATTCAGTTTCAGCTCAACAAGAATCAGTTAAAATCTTTAGAAACTGCGGTGGAAGAAGTACCCACATCTCTTACTCAAGTACAAGTAGTAATACCACAATGTAGAAATAATTAATTCAGGTTAACAATGAATAATAACTTCATATATGGACCAATAAAGATTTCCTCTCAGCACATAATAATGCATCATATTTTTATTTGTTGACTATAATTTGTATCATTGATCTCAATGAAGTAACTGAAGATATTGAATAAATATAGTGCCGTACTACAATAATAGTCAATGAATTGGAAGTAGAAAGTAGGAGAAAATGGAAAGAATCAAATGTAAGAATCTCTAAAGTGTAAAGACGATTCAGCTGCATTAAAGTTTCACCTCCAAAACTGTTTAAAAACGTTTTGACTTCATCTTAAATAAAAGTCTGTCGTCATGGTAACTATGGACTGGTGATGAATTATCACACAGATTCTGTTAAACAGTTTGTTAGTGTCAAGTAAGAAAAAAACAAAAACATTCTTCCTGTTAATAGTTGTTGTTGGTTAGTTAACAATGATGTGTGTAGTTAGTGTGTGTAGTGATACAAATCCTGTATTTTGGCCACAAAAGTACCTCAATAGAAAAATATTTAGTTTTTTAATTTAAAAACTCACAATATTTCTCAGTATAAATGTGGTCTTCAAGCTCATTATTTTTGTTTGACCTATGGCATAAAAACTCAGATATTACATTTAGAATATTATTTAACATATAAACACAATTGAAGATACTCACATATAATTTGTTTTGATCATTTCATAATGTTTTTTTGTTAATTTATAGATCATCATTTTAAATCAATAAAAACAAAAAAATGAAACATACGAGTGTTCCTGTGACCTTAAATAATTAAAATGTGCTTTTTTCCCTTTAATAGTGAAGTTTCTGAGGCCTGAACTTTGACCTCTTCCCTCACAGCTTGTCATCGCCACGGTAACCGGCGGGTCACACTGAGGGGGACCGGTGGACGTCTTACTTGTTCGGTCGCAGCCTCGTCCGCCACGTTAAGAACCCCCAGAGAGCTGGCTCGCTTCATGCTGCACCCACCAGAGCAGTGACATGCGGGGGGGGTGAAGGGTGAGGAGGGGGTGAGAGGTCAGAGGTCAGGGGGGGGAGAGGCAACTGTTTAGCTCAATGGAGATGGTTTGTTAATAACATCCATGACATCTTCACACAAAGGTTAGTTTTAAAAAACAAACAACTTCCTGTTTATGAGATTTAGAAAGTTAAATATGAAACTTTGGCACCAGTTTCTAATATAATTAAAATGTATAATTGTACTTTTGGTCTATTAATTAAAACCAGAAGATTCAAACTGTGTGATTATAAAAAAGGAAACGTGACAATTATTAACAATCAACATCTTTAAAGGGTCAACAGATGACTTATTAACCATAAATAGCCACAGATGAAGAAGTTCATTAGAAACTGGTACCAACATTCTCCTTCATCACTTGATGCGTCAGCAAAGTTCATTAATAGAGTTCATGCATGAACAAAAACTTTGGATCAGTAAGTAAAACTGCAGAAACATGTAAAGAAAAGTCATCCAGATCAATAATTATCAATACAATAATTAACGATAGGATGTCAATTCTATTGCTTTTTAGGAAGATATAAGATATATTTATGCAGCCAAACAAAACAAAATACAAAGTTGTGTGTAAATATGTATGATATATGATTTAAAATTATTCTTTTCTTGCACATAAACTCTTTTCTATTTCCTCTCTTCATTAAATTGAAATAAATAATACTTAGAGAGTTAGTTAAGAGGGATCTTTTAGTTACTAATGTGGAGGATTAGTTTGGGGACTCACCTGGAAAAATGTTTTTTAACTCTCAGATCTCAAATCAAAACCGACTTCATTTGCTGGCGAGAAGATTCAACTTCAATTCTCGAGAAAACTGAGTAGATGTTGGTTTGTTCCATAAAAAAGGTAAATAACGACCAATCAGGGAGTCAGCATCACTGATTGGTCCTGATGGAGGCGAATCCTGATGATGACGACATCATCGCCTCCATCAGAGGAGAACGGAAACACAGATGAGGCATGCAGACATTCAAACGAACAAATTTATTCATAAATAAAAAATTCAACAACAACAACAAAAACTGCCATGCAGACAAGTTGTTTTTTAAAGTAAAATTCACAAAGGAAAAAAAATGAAAATAATAAAATCATAAAGTAAAAGTGATTTTTTTCAAAATAAAATGTCTGAAAGCCACAGAATACAATAAATAGATGAATCTATTAGTTGTTCAAACAAAAGGAAAAGGAGTTCAGGCAGAACAGCATTCCAGAAGCATTCCTCAAAGTAGTTGCATTATTTTCACATTCCATCAGTACAGTTCAAGTACGGCTACTTTGGTTTTTCTGCCGAATGTGTTCAGATTTGGTCGTTACGGCAGAATATTAAGAAAGCTGAAGGAAAGAGATTGAGACTAAAGCTTTTTTATTATTTAGAATGGAAAGGAATACGTTCACGTGAAAAGGTTGTGATATTTAAAGAATTAACTCGTAATGTTTTGAGAATGAAGCAGCAAACAACCTTATTAAAACTCTTTGGGGAACATTCACCCAAAGTACAAACACTTTTAGATTGTTAAATTACAGATTTTCAATGGAAATTGTAAATTTTCTTCCTTTTAAAATATTGCATGTGTTATTTTGAAATACAAGGTATTTCTCTACAAATATTACAACTATTTTGCTTAAAATACGGCAACATTTTCCTTAAGATATTAAGGATTTCTCGTAAAATGTTGCAATGTTTTCTTAATATATACAATTATTTTTACCTGAAATATTCAGTTATTTCCTTTACAGAAAGCATTTCTCTTAAAATAATGCAACTTCTTGCAATCTTCTGGGATTATTTCCCCCAAACCGTTTCCCTCGCAAACCAAACCAAAGCAGGAAGAGAGAAGCGGCGCCGCGTACAGGTGCAGGCGCAGTGAGGACAGGAAACCAGTGCGACGGTTGGAGGACCAGTTAAAGTTTGCTCCGTCATTTCAAGTGCAAACAGCTTCAGAGTTACTTCACCGCCAGCAAAGCCCGTCCCTCCTTCCCTCTGGGTTAGTTCCTCCGGGCCTCCGGCGCCTAAAGTCAGAGTCACCTGGCTGGACCAGGTGCATGATGGGATAGTTACCCGGGGTTTTTGGGCTCGCTGTCTCGGGACGCGCCGCCGCCCTTCAGCTTGCGGACGAGCTTCTCGCTGCTGCGTCGGATGGAGGCTCGCAGCTTGCTGAAGGAGCCGCTCCTCTTCAGAGCGCCGGAGCCGTCCTGATGGGAGACGCCACAGCGTTACTCTCGTCCCAACACGCACTGCTGCTGCAGACACACACACACTCACACACACACTGTGTGCACATTAGCTGAAGACGGGGAGTTGTTTGACAAAATGAGGCCTTCTTTTTCATTTAAAATCAACAGAATGAGGAGCTCAATGAAATTTCATGTCTTAGGACCATTTGCAACAAACTCTGGTTAATTTATATTAAATCAAAAGGATAATTGGCAGCAGTGTTTTAACATGATATTCTATGGAAAACTTCCAAAACGATGCAGACAAATCTGTAGTTGCCTTCTACTCCCATGATGCACTGCTTCACTGCATCCACACAGGTGAGTCTGCTCTTTGTGGAGCAGGTCAGTGCTCAGGGAAGCAGAAGAAACACTTGTGTGGTTGTGCAAAGCCTTTAATTGACTAATTTAAAGTCAAACGTATAAACTGCACCTGGAGCAGTCGTAACGGGACATTTAAGATAATATCCTCAACGCCTTTGACTTCACGTTTTCTCCCCAATTCATTGACATTTGCTTAAATCATAAAGTAACATAACAAGCGGAATAAATACAAATATATGGATTTCTTATATTATATTATATATTAATATAAATTAATATATTAATATTTACTCAGCATAACATTTCTTCATGTTTTTCACTTGTTGACAATGTGGATCCTAAATAACCTAAAAATAATGTTCCTTTAGAATTTCTTGTAACTGACAGTACGGATACATACATACACATATATGATAAACTAATAAACCAATAGCTGATAGTATCAATACAAGGTCAGCGATTGATGACATCACAGGGAGGTGGTTTCCGGTTCAGTTGTTATGGTGATAATGTCGATATAATAATGTCTGTGTGCGTATTGACTTACGACTAAATCACTTGATCTGTAGCGGAGAATGAACTTAATAGAATGACTGTTTAATTTGAATCCACCACCTGACGTCTTGTGCCCCATTAAACCTGAATGAGCACCTGTGGTGACGGAGGTGGTGACGGAGGGGGCGGCTCCTGCAGCCTCCAATGAGCCGATGACAAGTGAGTTAAAAGAGGAGTTACTGATGTTTAGAGAAGAGCAGAGGACACAAAGAGGCGACAGGCTGCAGCTTTCAGGTGAGCAGAGAGTTGAGCTTTTATTAGAAGTTAAGAAGACAAGCGCTCAGATGCACAAAGACAAAAGGACACGCAGAGAGATTATTAGCAAGGAGCCGAGAACAGAGAGCATGAGACCACGTCCATAGAAAACGCAGTGACCACGGCTTTGTTTACCCCCCCCCCCCCCTCACATCTACATACAGAGATGGACGCGAGGTTACAGCTTCACCCCCACAAACGGACATTCAGAGGAACAGAGCTCGATGTAGGACGACCTCTCTGCTGGTAAAGCCGCGAGACGTCGTGCACGAGTCCTGTGACCTTTAACGTGACCTTTAACGTGAATGACTAAAGTCTAACAGCCTCTCGCTCATGCTGACGAGACGTTATTTACAGGCATCGATCAGCGGATCAATCAGCTGACTTTATATTTCTTCTCTAAATCAATCAATCAATCATCTCTGAGGAGTAAAACGTTGACTTTCCCCCTCAAATGATGTGGATAAATAAAAGGACTGAATATTCACACAAATACCATTTGTTTAAAAGGGGGATTTATTTATTCATCCTTTTTTTTTTATAACGGGATGTAAAATCCGTATTCATTCATTATTTGATTTTGCCATTTTAAATCCTACTGATCATTATTTTGATCTTTATCTTATTCCGTGATATTAGGGCTGCAATTAATGATTAATCTGCTGTTCATTTATTTACACTGTCGTCTGAATACAAATACAAAATAAAAACATAAATCCTGACAAATGAGCGGATTCTTGATATGTTTTATCTGCTGGTCGACTAATCGTTTAACTTCTACATGCGACACGTCACCGTTTCTTTTATACATTATTCTGGCAGCTGGCAGAGAGAGAAGCAACGTAAACACTTTGATTTAAAGAAACAGCTCAGAAGGTCGGATTTCTCTTCATGCTGCTTTTTTCCAAGAAAGAAATGAACTTAAAAGCCTGCAAGTGTGAATCTGGTTAAGTTGTCATGTTGAGGTGAGATGTTAAATGTTAAGAGCGCCGGTTTAAATGGAGAGTGTTCATCTGTTTAACTGTCACCACCCCCCCCCCAAAACCACCCAAACCCCCCAACCTGTTAAATCTACAGGCAATGAGAAAGTACAGCTTACAGACAGAAAGAGAGCGAGTCGACGTGTTAGAAGACAGCAGACACAACATGAGTTCATCACACACACGTTTCTAAAAGCAACGTTGTCGCTGTGGTTCGACCCCCCCAGGTGGAGGAGAGAGAGAGAGAGAGAGAGAGAGAGAGAGCTAAGCTGGAAGGGCGGAGGCGCGGTGGAGGCGCGGTGGAGGCGAGGTGGAGGCAGGCGAGACGTCCGTCATGCAGGAGACGAGTGTTTTAGAACCATTAGAAGGCATCTGGAGTTACGGCTGCCGGTCAGACGCAGAGAAGAGAGAAGGACACACAAAAGAGGACGAGAGGAGAGTCATCAAGGAGACAGGAAGGAGAGAAGAGGAAAGGAAACAGGATTAAAGAGGCCGACATGGTCGTCCAGAGCAGACGCCGTACTTCTCCACCAGCTGCTGCCTAAATGACGCCAGACACATATTTCTATAAACTTTAGGCTGGTTTATAAAATACAAGAGGCTCGGACAGGGAACTGAACCGTTTCATGGGTGGAACAGTCCTTCTATCGTCCTTCTCTGTGGTACCTTAGTTGGTAAATACTAACGGACACACAGCAAGTTGTTACTTGGTGTGAAGCTGACAGCGTTCTCCACCAGGTGGCGCTAACGTGGTGGAGAGGTACCGCGTCTGTATCTGGGACATTAGTTTGCACACTGAGCATCAAGTAGAAGGTTAAACTTTGAGCACCACAGAATAAAACACAAACACGAGAGCAGCCAGACGGAGAGTTTGTCGATTTCTTTCTGGCGGTTGAAGGTGATTTTCAGTTGAGTGAATTAGCAGACAAGAGTTTGGGCTGAAGACCAAGTCATCGCCGGACTCAAGTGTCGCCGTAGTGAAAACGGCGCGTCATCATAATAAAAAAGGTACTTTAGCTTAGAGGCCGGTTGAAGGATTTTTAACATAAACATCCACCAACATCGTCTTCCTCTGGCTGCCGACACGCCGCCGAAGCAAACGGAGGATGAGAAAGGGAAAAGGAGCGTACAGTACAGAGCCCACGTTACTGACTTCTTACTCAGGAATGAGCCTGAAGAGGAAGTGAGGATTTAGTTTGACAGCTGCAGGGAAGCGGCGCAGAGTAAATGTGTGTTTTTGAGTGACAGCTGTATTCAGCAGCAATCTAACAGCACCATCATTACATTTATATATATTTTTTTTGGGGGGGGCGATGATGTCATAATAAATTAGATGTGAGGCTTCCTTAAAGTGATGATTTAAAGCCCTCACTGATGTTTGAATCGTATTCATTTTGTATACATACTAATCGACGTCCACATGTTGATGCAGCATCATTGTGGTTACAGGTGACGTCACCAAGCAGACCTCCCACGGACACAACGCTGATTGGTTGTTCCGGGCGCTATGACTACTGTTGCTATGTGAGCAGGCAGCAGTAAACGAGGGAGGGGTGTGAGCGGGGGACTGAGGAAGTGCTGCAGTGCCTGCGAGAGGTCCCCGTGTGCTCCATGTCAGTCCGTCAGTGTGGTGGGGGGGGGGGGCAACAACCTCAGAAACCACTGGAACTCTTTAAGGTCGACTGTTGGAGATAAAACATGGAGAATCTCATCTCAATCGCCAGACTGACAGCTTACCATTACAATTACAATGATGTCGTCATTGAGACGTTTCCTCTACGTGTGCGCAGACTCTCAGTAGCGTGTGCGTGTGGGGGGAAGGGTGGGGGGGGGGCTGTGTACTGGACTTACCTCGTTCCACTCCACGCTCATACTCACTTCCTCGCCGCCGTCCGGCCCGCTCTCGTACTTCACCGTGTCGGAGGTCAGACTCTCGCGGCTCCGCTGCTTCTCGCGGACCTCCGGCTCGCTGAGGACCTCCGCCACGCGCTGCTTGTGCACGGTGTCCAGACCCTGACACACACACACACACACACACACACACACACACACACACACAATAAATGCCGATGCAACTGATTGAAATTAAAGCCGATCTGCAGCTCTAAACAGCGTCTGCGTTACGAGTGACATCATACGGACCCTCACCTGCTTTCTGGAGCGCATGGCGGCTTCCTCCAGAGTCTCTGCCGCCTCGAACTTGCCCTGCCGCTTGTAGAGGGCGCCGAGGTTCTTCAGGGTGGTCGTCACTGTGGGGCTGCAGGACACAAGGGGGGGGGTGGGGTACGTAACCATGGAGAATCTACCTGAGGGAGGAGTGGAGGCACTCCAAGAATACACAGATTATTACCAATTCAGACATGTTGTTCTTCATATTTCTGTGCTTTGTAAAACACTTACTGTAAAGCGATTTTACCTGATTTTATATAAAACCATTGGTTTTAAACAAGCAAACGTATGGCAATAACTTCAATTATAATATTTATAAAATGCCCTTTTATCTAAGACAAAGAGAGAAAGTAAGAAACAGCGGTCATACACAACACGAGGAAACGGGATCATTGAGGATCTCGTTACTTCCTCTCACACAAACTGACCTGTCCACTTTGCAGGCCTTGTACCAGCCTCCGTACTCTCCAAACGCTGAGCCGTCCTTCTGCTTCCCCTGCGAGACAAAAAGACACCCGTTTCATCCGCGTACTACATTAATGTCATTAGAGTCTCAAACTTTCGTTTAAAGGATGAAAATGAACCCGGATGATGAAGTGTTGGGATTAAAGTTTCCTTCTCTGAAACCTTTTAAAACAATAAACTCACATTATTTGTGCCTGTTGGCGGAGACTTGATCAGATTATCCAGCTCTTATTGAAGTTAAACCACATTTTAAATGTGGTAATAAGACATATTAAAGCAGCTGTGGTTCTCATGACTAGAAGCACAGGACTCACCTTGCTTTGCTCCTCTCTCTCCTCAGCGTGCATCCATATTGGTTTGTTTTCATCTGCAGAGGAACAGAGACGTCGGTCACAGCTGATCGGCTCAGATAAACAGCAGCAGGGAGGAGGAGCTCTCCATTAGCTTAAAAGGTGATTTTTCTTTACAGCCACCAAAATGCTTGAGTGTGTGTGTGTGTGTGTGTCGTACCATCAACGGAGCCGAACTCCCTCTCGTGGGCGCGGGTGAGGATTTCTTTGTACAGAGTTTCTGCCTGCTTGAACTTGCCCTGTTTCAGGTAACAGGAGGCCTGAAGAACACGAGAGAAACAGTCGAGCGTCAGCGTGACATTGGTCCTCCACGTCGTCCTGAATGCCAGATGTTTCCTGTTAATCCTCCACAGGTACCAGAGCGCGCGGCAGCTCGGCGCGGATCTTCCGTTAGCAGCATTTAAAACAACGGGATTCCACCACTGAATCCATTCATGTCTGACGGCTACAGCAATGAGACCCCTCACCAGGTTGTTCTTGGTCTTGGCCACGTTGGGGTCGTCGGGGCCCAGCTTGCTCTGGTAGATCTCCAGCGCTCTCATGTAGTAGTACTCCACCTCGTCGTACTTGCCCTGGTTCTGGCACAGCAGGGCCAGGTTGTTCAGCTGCTTGGCCACATCTGGGTGCTCCTTCCCCAGCACCTGGGCCGGAAGCAAGACAACAGTCATTACATCAGCGACGACGACTTTCAGGGGCCATTTGGTCCGTCCGCAGGCGCTGTAGCTGGACCTCCGTCACTGGGCTGTTTCTCTAAGTGGCCGGAAAACTTTGGAATTCACAAGCCGCCGCTCAGTAACACGTCTCGCTTCCTTCTGGGATGTTGCTTTTTGAGACCAATGACATCAGGATGCCGTGTTAGAAATTAAATCTGTAGCTAAAGGATTTTCACGTGCGGACTGTGGACCTGCTCGATGAGATCAAAGCAGAGGACAGTGGACGGCTTCCTACACTGAATGAGGATATGAGCGCGCTGAGAGCTTTTCCTGAGCGGCTTAACTTAGCGAGCGAGGAAGACACGCAAAAAGAACCGTCAGAGACGAGGGGGACCAGACGTAGAAAAACTGCAGCAAGGGTTTTTTATCAGAGTATGACGAGCAGAATAGGAAACAGCGCAGAGAGGAGATGAAAGGAGAGGAGATGAGAGGAGAGACCGGCTGAGGCGTTGAATCTCTTCTTCCTTCCTCGCAGAAGAAGGATGAGAGAAAAGGACGTTCAGCAGGAGAAACCTTGTAATCTGTGCTGCGTATAGAAAGAGCTTCATCAACAAGAGGAGAGACGTCACAGGATCCTCCTCCAGCCTGTCGGTGTCTGTGATCCACCGGGTGGTGCAGAGCTCTCTACCTCCAGCAGCCGCAGCCGCCCACCTTCCCTGTAAACATCATTAGCTGGAAAGGGATTTGCCATATGCTGCGCAACCACATGTTTATTGATGAGGTCTTCGGGGAAAGGAGGAGCTCTGAGAAACACCACCGTCGTCTCAAATCTGGCTGAAGAGCCTCTACTTATAAAGAACAAAATGAATCCATATTTCATCCAAAGGTTTGCGTCGTGTTTCTGCCCCTCTGACGCATATTCCTGTCAGTGCAGAAGGGCTTCAGTTTGATTCAATGTCGATCAATTGAATGAAAAGATGTTAATGTCAAAATCGATCGACTAAAAACAACAAGCATCAGTCTGCTGATACTTTGCCCACTGAAGACATTCATCTTTGAAAACAGGTTTTTTAAACGTCTCACCGTGTCTTTAAACATTTGGCTGAGGTAGTTTGTAAATAACTAATGAAATAATGCATTTGTCTGAACTATTTTCCGTTTTTGAAGCTCTCGTGAGAATCTGGTGTTTGTTAATAAAGTGTTTCGAGGTCTTGGCGGTGATGTATTCAGCATCACAATGTTTTCATTTCCTCTCAAACTGAATAGTGAGAAGCTTCTCCACCGGTTTAAATATTCCTCCCTCTCTTCTCTCTGATGCAAACTCACACAGAAGCTGAGCTTCCATAACAAAGACGACAAAATAAATGCAGGGAAAAGCAAATCTCTGCAGCAGGGTGAAGCATAACAAAAAAATAAATGCTCAGCTCAACCAAAGCGGACGTCTCATCTCAGAGCGGAGGACACGTGGACGATTGCTGAGCAGCAGCTCAGCAAGAACCGAACTAGACGTCAGGATCTTTGAACGATGGGAGTCACCTCAGGGGACATTCTGGCACAAAGTAGAACCTTCTACTTCTTCTTCGTGTCCACCTTGTGAGTGCCGTGCGATTGTCCAATCACAGCTTGGCAGGATCATCCGGGGGTCACGTTCTTGTGCTGTGTTTAATAATAAACTGTGAATAGCGCCGTCCTGCGATCATTCCCAACACAGAAACGTTACAGAGCTCTTGAGGTGAGAAATGCCGGATGAAGGTTAAAACCGCTCCCATTCACACATCAACCCGGAGGGAATCGGAGACAGACTGCTGGTTTCTAAAGGGGACTTCAGCATTTGGAAGCAGACTTTTGTTTGAAAGCTTTACGTCTGGGGAAGATGGAAGAAGAGACTGTGAAACTGCTGCTTGCGAATCTGTGTTTGATGACCTTTGACCTACCTTCTCCCGGATCTCCAGCGCTCTCTTGCACAGAGGCTCCGCCTCCTTGTACTTCCCTCTCTTCCCATACAGGACGGCCAGGTTGTTGAGGGTGGCGGCGACCTGACGGGAACACAGACGCGTCCGTTATTTCCCTTCAGTCACTTTTGGTGACTCGAGGCTCGACTCAGGAGGCCATCGATCCGGTGAGGGAGTAATCATCAAGGGGGGGCAGGAAGTGATTGTTGGTGGGGGGGGGGGGGGGGGGGGGGGGGGGGCGGTAATTTGATCGCGTGCACTCAGGAAGAAGGAGACTACCGAGGCGCCTGGAGGTCCCTTGTGATCTTCTGTTTCAGCTGGCCCATTGTGCCATGGTGGGGGGGGGGGGGGGCATCAAGGAGTGGAGGAGTGACAGAAGGGAAATAAACAAAAGAACAAATACCCATCAAAGGTCCAACCTTCACCTGTCGGATTCACTGGATCCACACTGTGGGTGTAAATCTACCGTTGCCCCCCAATCCCCCCTTACTCTGTTCGGTAATCACACCAATGCTGCTGCTGGCTTAACACAGGTGATTGTGAATGGAGAGCATCCCCCCCCCCCCCAGTGAGCGCTCATGTAAACACGATGATGTCGTCTCCAGGAGTCAACAAGTGGAAGTCAAGACCACGTTTCTTAAGGAATCTCTTTCAGCCCAAGAATCAGATCCAAAAGGCAAACTTCAAAAAGACAAAGAGGAGATTGAGAAGTTCTGAAATAATATTAGGAGGAAGAAACCATTTAGTGAGAGGAATCACTGTCAGGTCTATATTAATAACACAACTAGGGTTTTATGATTAGAAATCACTTCCTCGTTTAAAGAGAAATGCAGCGGTTGGGTGGAGGTGGGAGAGCTAACCTCAGCTTCACGTGGAGCGAGATGGAGGTCCACACAGTGGAGACACAGGCCTGATGGGGTTAACACAGTTAGTCAACCAGCTGGATGTTTCTCCCTCCCTCAAAGCTCCAATGAGAATGATAAATGCCTCTGTAACCCAAACACTGCTTTGGCTGCACTGTGATTCCAGTGTTACCTGAAGGGGTCAAATGTCGACCACGCGACCACGAATAGGAGCAGAGCAAAGAATAGAGAGTGAGAACTGTGGTAATCCAACAAGATACTCTTATTATACTTCTCCATTAAATGTAACCGCAGGTTCAAGTTTTTATTATACTAAAGTCGGGATACTTTCTTGGAGCTCTTTGCATTAAAGGGAAATGTTTTACTTTTAGTGAAATACATCCATTGGCATCAATAGAGAGGATCATCACCACCCTGGTCTGTACTGTGAATGTGAAGCTACTGCCAAAAGCTGTGTTAGCTTAGCATAAAAACAGGAGAAAAGATCTAGCCTTAATCAGTGTGATCAGCACACCAGCAGGAGCTCTCAGAACACCTCATTTGTCATCTCTAACATGGGCTTTGCTAGAACACCTACACCTATAACAATACATTTACGGTACCAGACACGTCTAAGGAATTAAAGCAAGGTCACACAGAGTCTGGTCTGGAGCAAGCGGGTGGACTCACAGCCGGATGGTCCCTGCCCAGAGTCTTCTCCCTGATGGCCAGAGCGTCGTTCAGCAGGCTGGCCGCCTCCTTGTATTTGTTCTGATCCCTGAAACGGACCCAAACAAACCCGAGTCAGACGGACACGCAGCACACACGGATGGGCGGATCGACCCGATGTCTTCGGGGTCCGAACAGCTTGCCGGCGGTGCCCCCAGTCTGCAGACAGCGAGGGACTCTGATTCCCGGCGCAGGCTATTCACTGCACGAGATTCATGGGGGTGAGAAACAAGGGCTCTTCTTCTGGAGCTGTGAAATGAACCCTTTCCCCGGTTTTACTGTACTGTCAATCTTTGTTCCACGTCTTAACTACAAAAGGTACCCAGCTATAATTCAGAAGGTCCTATAGAGGCCTGGGACAGAACGCTTTAAGGGTTGTTACCCAAAGTGAGTTGTGATGGTCACAAAAAGACTGCTGGAAACATTATTACAGACTCTCTGAAAAAAGCAATAACTTTAACTGATAACTACTGAAACGCTGTGGCAGCGTTGACAGGCCTGGACTCTTCTGAAATCCTGGGAAAGCAGATGAAAGCCCGGTAAAGTGAAGATGTTTGTTTTCATGCTGCCAGCAGTGTGACGAAGGAAACAAAAGGAGACACTGTACATTAGTCCTGGCAGTTAATCGTGGAGAAAGTTCTCCCTCCTCGGTGGCTTTGCACTGTTCAGGGAACAGCAGCAGCAGCTCGGAGGTATCTGAGGGACGCACCTGTAGACCAGGGCCAGGATGTTGAGCATGGTGGCCACATCTGGGTGGTCGTGTCCAGAGGTCTTCTCCAGGTCTTCCAGGGCCTGTTTGCAGAGGGGCACAGCCACCTCGTACCTGCCCTGGGAGGCGTACTGGATCACCAGGTTGTGGAGGGTCCTCAGGCGGGCCGGGATCTCGTAGCCCCCCTGCTGGGCCGCCGCCGCCGCCGCGCTGCCGTGGGTCGGCTGGACTGGAGACACGGAGGAGAGGATGAGACTCTCACCCCCTTCTTCACTCACGATGCATTTGGGTGTAATGTAAAATATATACAGTACTTGTTTTTGTGGTCATTTGTTTATAGATCTTACACAAAAAATACATCACATTGCATTGTGGGACTTGTAGGATGCCCCTTTTTCACTGGTACTAAAAGTGAAGCATTTATGTTCCCACTTCTATCCGATGCGATGCAGGAGGGAGACGGGTCTTGGAGACATGGAAACCCTTAAACCTCCTCCTCCACCCCCAGGCTACCAGCCATCTGCTTGTGGTTCTTTGGTCCTTTGAGGGTTGTGTACACCATCCTCAAGTGTAGCTTCCTTGTATTTACTGTCAGCACTGATGGAGGTGTGAGCGGGAACGTGTGGCTGTGTAAATGGGCGTGGGCGCATTATTACTTTATATGGATGTGAAGAAGGACGAACTTCTAACTTGTGTTGAGCTGTAGTGGAGTCATGGCGTAAAGGTCCCAAACGTTCATGCATTTCATTCTCATTTAAAGCCAAAGGTCTTAGCAACACCACTGTGGTCTTCTGCCAAACAGTCTTTCACCGGACTACAGCGACACAAAGAGAACTCGCTGTAGAAACGCTGGAACCAAACAACACTCTTTACGACTCCAAACTGGTCGGGAGTTTTTCACCCCATGTGGCCCCCCCTTCCAGGCTGGACCAGGTCCTGACTGATGGGCCTTCACAGCCAACACGACGTTACTGCTGAGCGACTGAAAGACCATCAAACACCGAGGGACGGGTGGACGTGGAGAGTGAGAAGTTAAAGTAGGGATGAATGCAGGAGCAACGCTATAAACCAGCTGATCGAGGGACACTGATTCATTTCAAAGACAAATCTGCTCATCATCAGACAGAAGCAAAGAAACAGAAGTTAAGTCCTTCCACTATTGCACAACACACGGCAGGAAGCTTCCTCTCCACATGACAAGAACACCCCCACAATTACACCACCTACACGAGGCAGGAACTACATGTCATTTGGACTGATTGTGATTAAGAACACCCCCCTAGAGTAGGAGAAGGGGGGGACACTTACTGCCTGGGGGTTGGTCGTCCTGGTCATCTGGGAAGAGATCGTCCAGAGTCTCTTTACTGGAATCAGAGTCCTTCTCCTCCTGAGAGGTGAGGGAGGAAGGGAGGGAGGGAGGGAGGAGGAAATGAGCTGACTCCATGTTTACTACATCGAATGTGGCTGTGTGTTCTGGCACATCTCAAAAGTGTAGTGGAGATTATTAACATTGACTCTGCTGCTGATGAGGAGCTCAGGGAAGCGACATAAAAACTAACAATACAAGAGGAATAAATTAAGTTTAGTCGTTTAAAGGAAGAACTTCCAGGGCTCAGCACGGACACTCGACACAGACACTTCAAGGCAGCACAAATTAACCATATAACAAAAGACGTCTCATTAGCAAACCGTGAAGGGGACCCGGGACTCACCGATGGGGACAAGTCCTCGTCGTACTTCTTCAGCTGGTTCATGAACTCCAGGTGCTTCTTCTCCTCCTCCAGCTGGGCGACGCTCTGCTCGCTCTTCTGCAGCTTCTGCTGCGTCCCGGCCAGCTCGTCCCTCAGCCACTGGTTCTCCTGGCAGAGCCGGCGTACCTGAGCCCGCAGCTTCTGCTTCTCCGACTCCACCGAGCTCAGGTGGCTCGACAGCGCCATCATCACCTGGTTCAGAAGTCAAGAACAGTCATATCACATGTTTGGAGTTGATCATGACGAGCATGATCACAATTGGCTTAGAACCACCTGGTAACAACATTCACACTAATTCCCAGTCCGTCCTGGATACGAGCATCTGAAACAGGTCCATACAAACATCAGAGTCATTGATACAGAACGGGCTTTATTCTTAATACAATCAACATTTCATTCTGAGGTGGCAGCATGATGAGTAACTGCTCAGCACTAGATATGTGCACACGTGCTGCTGTGAGGCCCTCTGGGTAAAAGCATCCATCTCACAGCAGAGTGAAAGGCACACGCCTGGCAGGGGTCTAATTAGACAGAGTGAGGGGCTGAGACATTTGGGGAGTTAGAGTCTGATAATTATGCAGAGAAATATGAATCACACTACTTCACAGTAAGTGCTGATGGTGGAGTCAGCTTGGTGCAGAGTGGTGTGTAGTTAATAGGGAGAGCCTGCTGGGAGACGAGAGGCTGAAGCACCAGTGACGCATCACCTGAGCAACATCACGACCAACGTTATCTAAAAGAAAATCTGCATTTGTTAAAAAGAGTTATATTTCTAATGGCGCGTTTCCACCAAGCGGTGCGGTATGGGTCGGGTCGGTACCCTTTTATTTGTGTCTCCACTGCCAAAAGTTGAGAATGGTACCAAAAATCCGAACCGTACCGTACCACTTTTTGGGTACCCTTCCGTTGGGGTACCTGGCACAGTTGTTTGGTACTAAAGGGCGGAGTTAGACTCACTGCAGAGCGTTGATTTGGTTGAAAGAGTGTTGTCATTTGCGTGTCCCGCAAGGGGAAAGACAACACACGTAACATGCTTGCAGCATGTAGCCTTTGCTCAAACAAAGAGTGTCGTCTCCTTGTGACAAACAGCCACATATCGAGAAGCAAGAACAGGATCGGCTGTATGTCCTCCATTGTTTGCGGTTAGCTTTCAGTTTTCGCGCGATCGAATGACGTCAATCTACTTTCCGTCATATACCACGCCTATCAAGTGACGTCATCACTACTTTCTGGAATACACCACGCCTATCAAGTGACGTCATCACTACTTTCTGGAATACACCACGCCTATCAAGTGACGTCATCACTACTTTCTGGAATACACCACGCCTATCAAGTAAGGGTACTGTTGGCGGTGGAAACGCTCGCCAAATCATGGTTAACAGACCCGACCCGTAGGATTAAGGACATCTTTGTTTTATATATATAATATAGAGTGCTAGTTAAAGCCGAGGATATTCAGACAGTTTAGATCTGTGTTGTCTGATCCAGATAATTAGCCTGATTATTAATATGTGTAATATACTAAATAAACCTCTTAATGAACACAATTATTGCACCTTTAATGCAATTACAAACGTTTATTTCTTGATTTTAGGCTTCATTTGTTTATTTTTATATTCAACTAAAACCAATATGGCTGTTGGCTTGGATCTGATAAGATAAGCGTTCACCAGTGACTGACGGTACCTGCGCCTCACTCAGCCCGAGCTCCAGCATCTCCATGGACTTGCGGATCATGTGGGACTTCTCCTCCACCAGGACGCTCTCCTCCTCCTCCTGCTTCAGGCAGCGCAGCGTTCCCAGCAGGCCGTCCAGGATGGAGTGGTGCTCCTGCTTCAGGGCATCCAGCCCCTGGATCACCTGCTTGGTCCGGGAGATGATCTCATCCTGGGACAGCTTCTCCCCGGGGTCCTCCTCCTCCTTCACGCACACCGTGGTGGACATGTCCTCACGCATCCTGCACATGAAAGTCAACATGGCTCGTTTATCCATTTGGATTCTTTACATGTAACGCAACAGATTCATGTTTCCTGCTGGTAAAAACCAACAGTAAAGTGGCTTATTGATTAAATCATGAATGAGCACGTAACAAAACACCTTCAGGTCTCATTCAGAGTTGCATCCTCCGGACCTTTTCTGTTGTCACGGCAACTCCTCAGTCGATAGGAGTTAAACAGAACCTCCTTGCTTTAGGAGCCGAGGACTTTTAGGTTGAGTGAGAAAGGTTTGTGCTCTCGAGCTACCTTTGAGCCAGGCACTGCGGCGGCGGCGCCGTGTTGCAGCACAGAAAGCTTGGTAAACAAAAGTTACACGTAATGTTTGTGACAACCCTGTTTGAAGTGCTCCTCAAAAATAAGCCGTTGTAGCTGAAGATGATTTCTCTGGGGCGCTGCGCTGAGTTGAACCTAAACCTCGGCCCGCTAAAGCTGCTGCATGCTGACGGGTCGAATCCCGATGGGAGGGTTGTGGTTTACGGATAGCGGCAGATATGAGGTGAGAGCGGATTGTTAGAGAAGCTTTATGGGGAACCAGTGCAGAGCTGAAATAAGTGATGAGTGGCAGCTAGCAGGCTTTTCTTTCATGGTTCTATTAGCTTTCCACATACTGAGTCACTCATAATCACTAACTAAAAGCCTGCTGGAAGGGGCCAGAATTTTAAAAAGCACGCACGCACACGCACGCACACACTCTTAAGAGGATTATGACCGAGCGCTTGAGCAGCATCTGTAGCGAGCTTCCCAATAAACGTCTGAACGTCCCAACGTCTGACTGAAACCGCTCTGAATAATCGCAGACACACGGACCAGATGCAAACAGACATTTAGGCAGCGTGATGTCTGCATGAGACTCAGCAGCCGGCCTGCAGCGCGTCAGCTGACAGCCGGCAGGAAGCTGGAAACACAGCAGGTCCAGGGGAGCTGAGCGCTCTGGGGGTGAAACGAGAAAAAAAAATCCTCTAATCTTCAGACTGGTAAATTCACATTATAAAATGATTGAAGGCAAACTAATAAAGTAATTTTATTTGTATTGATGGTATTTATGTTTCACTTGTCTCTCAAACTCAGCATTGAATCTAAATGACACTTGAATAATTATATCCTCTACAACACCTTCAAATAAAAGTCATTCTCATAATGAGTCAACCTGCTGATTTTTTTCTTCATTATTTGACCCAACAAACCCGAGAAAGAAGTTAAAAAAAGGGAAACGAAATAAAAGAAAGCTTGAACACAGGAGCCTTCTATATTTTAGCTTGAAGGGAGATATGGGGGGTACGGGGGGGGTAATTATGCTGGGATGTTTCAGTAGTAACAACGGGCTGCTGTGGCCAGTAATTAGCAAAATGCACAGTGACACAATAACTGCTCCCACTGCGGGCGGAGTAATGCAGAAGCGAAAGTGACAGCGGTTCTTTTTCCTGTTCGGATCCAACAGTCTTATTTTTGGCATCAGATGAGTCTCGAAAAAACAAAGCACCACACAGGGAAAGGAACAGAAACTGCTTCTGATGTTTGGTGTGCACACAGCTCCTCCTGTGAGCCGGTTATGGTAGAAGCTATTGGGAGACTGGGACCAACGGGGAAGAGGAAGAGCAACACTGAGCAGAAACCATCTTAGTCAGCAAACTGGGCCGACAGCACTGATTCACAGCATTTAAGACGAAGGCTGAAAGTCACCAGAATGAACTAAACTCCCCTTTCAGCTTCATTTGGGATTTTTCACTACTAAATAGTTCACCCTCTTCGTCTTTGAGTCTTTCATTTTAAACAAAACCAAAGCGCTGATGACTATTATGACTATCTGAGGAGCTGGAGGGAACAGAAGACAGTCAGAGGATCCATTGTTTGTATAAAAGGACTAAAGCTGCTTACATATATCTGTTCCTTTGGCAAGTCAACACACTGGAGTCTCTGATTCCACTTTTCTTCAGGCTCAACACTCAAGCCGTTACTAATGAGTCATTTGAGTCAACAGGAGACATTAGCTGCAGGGACCGTGAGAAGGACGAAGACATCAGACCATCACAAGACACGACAGCAGGCTGGAACAAGGAAATGACCATCGACATCCACTTTAACCCGACTGCCCGATTCCTACGCGTTGCCTCCTAAAGGAGTGGCAGGCTTCTGCTGAGGCCTCACGTGACAGGAAGACTTGTTCCACATTTCCGTGGGCGAGAGTTTAAATCATTCTAAGTGGCCCCCGAGGGCAGAAAGATAAGAGAGAAGAGTTGTTTTCTTATACAGGGACTGTGATAGAGGATAAACTATCTCACAATCAACATCAGGAGGAACTCGTGGCCAGTATACTGCTTTTTAATACATGGTTGTTTAAGACATTGAACAAACCAAGAATTACTTATTAATTAGTAACATTTCTATCCTCAGAAATATTTTATCAATGTGTCAAATAATAGTGAAAATGCACATTACAATATCTTTGAGCAAGTCTTCAAATTTCTGTTTTTTCCCCCACCGACCTTCCAGAACCCGAAGGTGTTTAACGATAATATAGAACACAAGAGGGAAGAGAAACGATGTCACGTGAGAAGCTGATGTGCGGTTTCTCTGTTTGCTATTTGATCATCCACCAAAACAAACAAAAAGATCACACCGTGATGGACACGTTACAGGACGCACATGACAACCTTCACGCAGGGAGGATTCACAGCACAACGAGAGCGATTAGTTTTAGCTCTACCTCATAAACGGAGAACCAAAGCATTTCATCATCTGCGTCTAATGAAACAGGCTGATATTGATCGCATGACAGCCGTATGCAGATTAATCAATACAGGTCAATAAGTAATGAGAAATGAAAGCACAGAAATAACGAAAGAGGTCTAAAGGACTTGAATAAACGTGTCTGAGGAAATAGGTTTTCAGCTTCAAATATTTGTATTGGTAGGTCTATAAATAACAAATATTGATAAATAACTACGTCTCAGGAAGTAAACGTTCACCCCAGTTGGACAGACACATCTGCAGTGGGCTCAGCAGGCGTCGTGTCTTAGTTTACGTGCTCCACCTGCAGAAGAGCTCGATGCAGCTCAGAACAAATCCTGCAGCATCGCAACCAAAATATGCAGCGACGACACATAATCACCATTTCTTACCAGCAGTGACAACAACAGGGAAGGTACACACGCACCCGCACGCACACACACCCGCACACACACAATAACTAGCAGCAAGCTGCAGCAGAGAGCAGAGGGTGTTCTCCTGGGTGTTCCCGGGGAGGAGGAGCCCTGCAGGCTGTCAGGAGCCTCCTTGGGCCGGATCAAACATGAAGGGCCACGGGCCCGGGGACTAGTGTGTCGGTCCGTGTGTGTGTGTGTGTGTGTGTGTAATACATTTAAAATATTCACAGACGCCTCTCGAGTGTTTCCCAGCTGTGGGTCCCACACTGAGATCCACTGTCCCTTCCCAAGCGGTCCCTTGAACACAGGCGGCTTTCACGCCGCTTCACTCCCGCAGGGAATATCAATGAAAAGGGGGGGGGGGGGGAAATCCATCTGTCACGTGACCAAACATCAAGCCCTAAAGGTGACTGCGGTGGCCCCCGCAAAGTGCGTCTTTAGCCAGCCACCTCGCTTGGGATGGATTAACCTGAAGAACCAGTTAGCCGGTTCCTTCCTGCACCCACACGCTGCTAGCATGTTAGCTCTGAGCTACCGAGGCTCCTGTCGGTGACAGTTAAGGTGCTTAAAGCGTCTAATTCCTGCAATTAACGTAAACACGGACCACACACCTTAGAGCTCCATCTTTAACACATTTATAAAAATGGATAAAACGTTTATTCAAATGCGTGTTGTTAGACTAGATGACACTTAACCAGGTTGACGGAAATGTTCGTTAATTAACGTTAGTTAGCAAATGATACAACTCCAAGAATTACACGGAGCCATTCCTACCGTTCTCTAGGACATCCGTTGCCAATGTATTAGCTTCCCTGTAACGTCCGTTTATCTCGCCTTTCCGTCTTCTTTTAAATAGATGTCTTGTTCTTTCGACCCACAACGTTTGAGCAGAATTGTGTAAAAAAAAATAAAACAATAAACGTTATAAATCTCAATATTCAAAATCGGTGTCCGGCTGAGATTACGTTCCGCCGACTTCAGCGCATCAACCGCAGCTACTGGTGACCAGCTAGCTCCATAGCTAGCCCCCTAACTGTCAAAACACAGGCTTTAGTCGGAGCCATTGGAGAAAAGCCCGTTTCTCATTTCCGTCCCGCGGCGACTCGACAGCGGCTTCATGGGGCTCGAAGGGGACCAGCGTCCCGGGCAGTGACAGCTCGCTGGTCCTTCTGGCTCGGGCACCGACTGGCTGCGCCGTGCGTGAAAATGGCGTTAGCCGGCGCGCGCGCCTCCCCCCGCGGGTGATGATGTCATCCCTCTCCGGTTAAAGGGGAAGCTGCGGATTGAGCCGCCAGATTCATTTTAATGTAAACGCGTATGTTACACTACACAACTCCCCATATGTGCTACGATTCACAACCAATACATTTGACTTATAATCGTATATAAACTTGCAGACACTGAATCACATTTCACGAGCTGATGTTTTATAATAAAAAAAGATCATAAAATACTGACTATAAACTCATCAAAATTTACACCCCTTTTAAAATATAATTATAAGAAATATGGAGGCTGAAGAAATCCAAGAAGCAGCTCTTAACATGTCTCAGTACCTGAAGGCAGGTTTCATTGAATCAAGCACACATCAGAAATAGAGAAGAGATTTAAATCCTCCATCCGATACGAGAGGAACGTTTCTAACTCCCGCAAGTGAAAAATATAATAAATCAGTACACAACAAAGCACCGACAACGAAGAGAAGACTTTTCTAAGAATATTTTATTAGTTATGAGCTGGTATTAGGTCTGTTGTATCTTTCAGTAACAGTTGTCCACATCTGCTTCAGGGCCACTCGGGCCATGAGCAAGGTGATGGTGAAGTTACGTCGGTACCATTCCCTGGACACGAGGAGGAGGGAGCATCAGAGGAAGTGAGCTCAGGTTGAATCCAGTGATACAGTAGGACTTTACAAATGTGAAATACAGTTTTAATAAAGACGTTTAGCCTATTTTACTCCTGTAAATTGTTTTATTATAGGAGGGGAGACAAGAGGAGGGAGGGAAACATGGAATGAGAAGAAAGAGGGAGGATGGAAAGGCAAAGAGGGAGGTGGGGAAGAAAAGAGGAGGAAGAAAGGAGACAAATAGTAGAAGGGTGAGGGAGGAGACGAGACAGACGTTATAGGGTGAGGGAGCAAGGAATGATAGAAGGGAAGGAGAGGAAGATGAAGGAGAGGAGGCACAAAGCATTTTAGAGCTTGGTTCCTCTACATTTGCCCAGCGGCATCATGGGAGAAACTCACCGGTTATAATCTCCGTGTCGTTTTCGGTTTGTATCCAGGAAGCGCTTGTAAAACACGGCCATTTCCTCACTGTTCAGGGACCGCCGGCGTCCTGGGGGGGGGGGACACAGGGGACAACTTTGTATTCTCAGTAGGACTCATTTACTTCTTCAATCTCCACGGAAATGAATAAGACAGAAGGAGGAGGAAGAGAAAATAAGGAAGGACAGAGGAAAGGAGACATCTCTGTGTGTAGAAGAGCTCGTCCTCACCTTCCTCGTCCCGCATTGTCAAGCCTTTTCTGTTCAGTTGTGAAAAGATGAACTCTTCTTTTTCCTGCAGGGAGCAGAAATATGTATATAGATCAATATTTATTTGTTTTGTGTTCATCCCAGTGGAAATATCCAATAATCCTTCCTCTCGTCCAGAGTTCATTAGAATTGTTTAATCAATGCATAATAAATATTATGTTGTTGCTGAGGCAGATTGCCCAGAAACCTCATTATACAAAAGTATAAAGTACATTTTATACACAAGCCAAAAAGTCACATATTCCCAGAAAATATAAATACTTTTAATTTGACGGATAATTTGCTGTTAAATAGTATCAAGGCAGGTATTTAAGGCAGACGAATAAAGCCTCCTTATTTATCTGAAACAGCCACCTTTTGTTGTGAGATGCTGCTCTCTGCTGGTGGAATTAAGAACTGCTGTAAGAGCTCAGCATGCAGCGGAGTAGCAGTGACCTCCATTGAGAGGTCAAAGGTCAAGAAGAGACAAGTATAAAAGGCGAGAAAAGAAGGAAGGAGGTGAGGAGAACACTTCTAAGGTCTATAACTCGTCCGTTAACATTGAACGCATCCCTGGTGTGCAGACGGCACGCTGCCCTCCGAGGCTACCTGGCTGAAGCTGATGTTCTGCTTGGTCCAGAAGTCGTGGTTCCAGTCCTCGGTCTCCTGCCTCAGGTGTCTCAGACGTCTCTCCAGCTCCGACTCGTTCTCGGGGACGTGGTAAACGATGGGCCGAATGTTGGAGAGAGGGTTCGGTGGACCGATCCAGTCGTGTGTGGTGCTGGCCGCTGGTCTGAAGGGAGATCTCTGCATAGAGAGAACAGCTGATCAGAGGCGAAGCTACTTTACATGCTACATTATCTACTACTGCATCTGCGGGTTGGAAATTTAAGTTTTTAAATGAGAAAATAATAGCCAAATAAGAGGAAAAATGGTAGTTGAAAACAATTCTTATTTTGAAATAAATAAAGCTTAAATTATTTTAATTAAACTATTTGAAGGTTTAAAAAAGTGCAGTTCTCTTTTTTTTTAAAAGGGAAAACCGTTCTTTATAAATTGCACTCTAATTATTTAACTGGAAATATAAATATTGGCCTATTCTGTATTGGGTTAGAATTTAACCACTAAGACCACTTTGCTTCACTACAAATGTTGAGTTGAGTTTCAGCATTGGAGGTTGAAAGCAGGCCGCTCCTCTGCAGCAAACAACGTAGTAGAAGAAGAAGAAACATTGGAGACACTAAAGAGGCTCAAACCAACAGCTGACAAGCAGGAACCGGCTTATCAGTTCCACCCAGACTGCCGCAGAGGAGCAGGACACACCACGCAGCACCCGGAGGCCCAAAACAGGTACACACTGTACTGGTAGGACTGGTTACCAGTCAGCTGACTTCTAACCCAGTTTAGTAAATGTTTGTGTTAAAATATACATAGTTTGATCCCGGGGTAAAGGTGTTGATAGAAGTAAATGACAGTGGTGGAGTATATTTAGTATTGTACGGAAATACAAGTGTGAGGTATTTGTGTATTTTATGTATCTTCTCTTCCACTACATCTTAGAGACACACCTATTACACTTTTTTACCTCTCATTACCTCCCTTTGAGTTTTAAACAATACATTATGCGCCGACATTTTTACAGCACAGTAAATACTTTTACTTTGCATGTATTTTTTTGTGGTGGCATATTTACTTTTCCTCACAGATCTCAGTACCTCGTCCACCAGCAGTCCGCTACTGTAATAACACTATCAGCGGAGACCACGGACATGGCGACCACCCCCGCAACCGTAGCGTAGCAACGCTCAGCGTTACGAACAGCTGACCGAGCGGCCGGCGACGCGGCGGCTCTTAAGTCCATTATTCACCGCGGTGAAGCCTCCCGCATGAGTTAACTGAACGTAAGAGAGCGGATCGTAGCGCGGACCTTGGTTTTTTCGTCCCGCTCGGTTGCCAGTTCGGAGCTGCACTGCCGCGTTTTCAGCGTCGTCAGGCTGCGTGGAGCGCGGTGGGCGAACGCGCCGAACGCCCCGCGCGTCAGAAGGCCCGCTGCCGCCGTGGCCGCCATGTTTATAATCGACGGGAACCTGGCCGGTGTTCCGCCGGGACGCTACGGGGCAGGGACTCCCGGTGTTGATGGTAATCCTCCTTCCTGGGAGTTCGTGTCGGTGTCCTTCTGCGAGCAGGACCAGCAGTCTGGTCACGTGACTCTCAGAAGGGAAAGTGGCGCTTAAAAGCTCTGTCAGCGCAGCCCCTGCTTGAGCGACTCGGGCGGGGTTTCCTCGCGAACTGTATTAAAAGTATTTAAAATCCCGTAAAAGTAAAAGCGCGTTAACATCAAAACGTACCAAAGGTATAATATATATACTAAAACCCATGTCTGAATAATTTGTATTATATTATTGCATTATAACTATTAATGTAATTAATGTGTATGTTATTGTTACAGCTGCTGAAGTTCACACAAGGACACATTATTTTACGTTATATACGTAAAAATAATGAAGAAATACATAATAATAAATCAAGAATAATAATAAAATATGATTCATTGATGTAGATTAAATACAGTGTTACTAATGGTAATTGAATAGAGTATATTGTCATATTTTGAAAGACGTCAGTCTGCTAATTAATTAATTATTTTAGTGAAGTATTTTTAGTAATGTTATTGACCGTTTAACTTAAAGACGAGTTATAAGAAAATACATCACCATCTCCTTATCATAAAATATCTATTTAAGTTAATGCAATGAAAAATTAAATGTTATTCACATTTCATATTTTACAACATATGTAAGAAAATCAATACACAAAGTGAATCCAGAATCTAATCTGACATTATACAACGTGAACCAATTTCTTTGAGCAATAATTTGTAAAAACGTTGTTCACAAACAACATCAAAACGAGCACGATTAAGAAATGATGTTGCTGCTTTTCATTTCTTTGGGTGAACTCGAAGGGAGCGTCACACCCGCCCTCGCTCTTAAAATCAAACGGCATCACCACACGTAAAATGGAGCGCTCTCTGAATTGGACAACCAAAACTTGCACTACGTTAAAAATAGTAAAGTCAAACAACGGTAAAATTACGTTTTTTCTACTTCGATATACATTTATAAGACAATAAATAAACACCACTTGACACTTGGGTATCTCGAGTTAAACAAATGCCGGCAAACCGACTTTTATTTCCTCCCCTAAACGAGCTAAAGCTAAACTCCGCGTAAGTTCACTGGCGTGAGCCGGAAAGTAACTAACGTTTCTAGAAGGTTGCTAGATAGGCTAATGTTTAGCTACAAACGGGGGGAGGTGCGCACTTTTCGGCGACCTTTCAGATGGCTGTACGCTGGTTATGCAGGTAAGGACGAACCCGTTAAAGTGACGGAGCCGGTGTTTGTGTATTTACCCTCCCACCCCGCCCCTCCAAAGAAAGCGGGGACTCATTCGGCCCAAGGTGGGGCTGAGTCAGGTGATGTGGCGCTAGCTTAACGCTCCGACACAATGGCGTTCACGCCGTGCTGCGCGGGGAGCGGCGGCTCGAGGCCCACTTCTCCGTTTAGGTGATCAGGGGGAGAAACGTATTAGAGGAGTAAGTCGGTTTAAAGCGAGAGTCGGGGGAGGGAAGCCCCTCCGGGTGGGGGGGGCAGTGGGAGGGGCGACACCAGCCCGACCGCAGTCAGTCAGTCAGTCGGTGCTGAAGCTGACCGGAATCTCTCTCTTCGTCTCTCTTTATCTCCCCCCCCCCCTCTTCCTCTCTCTCTCTCTCTCTCTCTCGTGTTTTCTTCTCGGGGCCGGGGGGGTGTGAAGGCTGCTTCGGCTCTCCATCTGGGTGCCACTTGGCTCCACGACCCGCCCTGCCGTGGCCGATGGAAACAGACATCCGTTAAAATGTGCGCGAATGTGTTCGGAGTTTTGAAAAGGTGAGACACGCGCACACGTATGAGTGAATATATATATATATATATAGATATATAAAGGTATTTGTTAGTCTGCTCGTATGTGCGCGAGGATGCGTCTGTGCCGCAGGTGTGTTGGCTGCGCGTGCTGCAGGGGATGCAGATGTTTCAACGTTACCTTCGCGAACCAGCTGTGCCAGACGTGTTTTGTTCATGTGGTCATAATGCGCAAAGTCGTGCAGGACCGGTGCATCCGGTTGCATGCAGCCGTGCAGGAGAGGTGCTGGTGCGTTTTTATTTCGGGGGGGGTGGGGGTCGTTGCATGTACAAGCAGCCGACCCTTCATGCTGTGTGACTCGTGGGAGGGGAGGTTGTTACTATCGAACCCTTGTCTCAGCTCCAGCACTACTCCCTTATTTCCTTCTTGGATCAAATTAAAGGGTGAGGTGTTCGTCAGGCTCCAGCGGCTCCTGCTGAGATCATCCTGTTAAATACTCCCCATTTGTGAGCTCCGGCTCCGGCGTCAGTCCACTGCTCGGCCCTCCTCGCCCTGTTACATAAAAGTACTTATCGCTGATAACCCAGTCCTGTCTGTTCCAATAAGTGTTAGTAATGCGGGGAACAGCAAACCATCGCATTTTGGCCTTTGTCTTCCTATGCAACAATCCCGTCATGCGTGCACGGCGCCTCCACTGATGAAGGCGTCCGGTCTGGTGATGCGGAGCTTCTCCCTCCAGCTGCGTTCTGTTGCTGAAGCTACAACAGGCTCCTAATCTTAAGCCGCTGTGTCACATCGCACCCTGCAGAGAGAGAGAGGGGGGGTCCACTCAACGCTTTTTGTAGAATACATTTCAGTTCTTGAGTCCAGTAGACTAGAGGTTTGGATGGTGATCACTGATGGATTACAGTGATGGGGCGAAGGCCTCCGGGGGGGTCAAGAGGTCAGATCCTCCGTGTGAAGTGACTGATATCAAGTCAAAGTTCAACAATGTCCTGCTCAAAGTAGACCTCTATAAAGTATCTTCCCGCTGCATCCAATCCAGTATTGGTTTGTTTTTGCCGTTTGGACAGGACACTGTCTGTATGCTGTAGTATTGTGTATATTATCTCACAACAAAAAGGGACACGACACAAAGAGGAAGATGCACAAAACTAGAGAAGCGCGAATCGATTAAAAAAACAACTAGAACTGTAAAGGAGAAATAACAAGCAGGAGATGCAAAATGTCACACAATTACTAACAAGAGATGCTAAATTATTAAAAAACAATCATGAAACCACAAAACGGCCGAGACTTAAAGTTTACCAACAAATGTGAAAGTGGCGAAGAGACGAAGCGTCCGTCTGTCTGCAGAGAGGACGACGTCACATCGCTTCATCACGGAGAAATCTGACAGTTCTTCTCCGCCGGAGTCTACGAAACCTCACGTTTCCCCTCATGTTGAATGTTTGGAGTTCACGTCCTCAAAGACGCCTCTGAGCTCCGTCTCGCTGGCTCGTTTCCTCCTCGGGGGGGGGGGGGGGGGGGGGGGGGAGAAGGGACAATGGACGGCCGAGCCCGTGTTTAAAAAATGAAGGGTCTCAAGATAGCACACGCGGAAATGTGAGGCCCAATTTTAATGTAGTTCTCAGCTGCAGAGTTATCACCGTGTTATCACTTTGGGTTTATGATGAAGTACGAAAGAGATCAGAAGAGAAAAACACTAAAATACACCTCAGATTTTAAGAAGAAAGGACATTTAAAAACTAGTTTCAATAAACTGCTTATTAAGGATGTTTCACAGCAATAACAAAATGCCTTTTTGGAGACTAAGAGCAGCGTTTACTTACTTACTTACTACTATGAGATATATTCTCTGTTCAGATATTTTAGTTAAATAAAGTCATTGTCAAATACACTTCTTCGTTTATTTTTATCGCTGCTATTTAACACTTTTCTTTGGATGTTGCGGCTCAGAAAAGGCCGTCATGTTGCGTCGTTCCTCCTGGTCTTTAAGCCGATGACTCTCTGACACGTTTAAGGTGACGGACTGCCGGCAAATGGAAGATACGACACTTCTTCCTTTTGTCTCCCGATTATTTTCCTTGTTTTTGAGGTTGGTGATCTCAGAAGGTCGCATGTGTTGTTGTTGATTCATGAAATGCTTTCGTGTCACCGCAGGTCGGTACTAAGCGGCGTGTTGTAGGTGTGGAGCGGTCGGCCGAGGTCGCCGCTCGTCTCCGTGCCAGCGGCTCTGGCAGCGATCCAGACTTTAGTCGGGGGTCTCGTTGCACCAGCGTGGGCTGTGAATAAACTCATTCTGGCCAGTAAACGGTGTTTACATGCACCAGTTTCTTGCTCTAATTCTGGAAGGAGAACGCGGCCAATAAGCCGCGTGAACGTGGCTCATGAATGTTCCCATGGTGACGCCGTGTTTGACAAGTTGTAACCGAAACATAAAATTTATCTCATCGGGAAACAGAAAAGTGCAACGACAGCAGGAGCTTTGGACTTCTTTGCTTAAAATGTCGTTGTTTCATTGTGATATTTGCTCGTATCCGACCAGAGACGAGCCTCTGCAGCTCCGCTGTGAGTCGTGAACGCAGTCATTCTGAATGACTCTAATATGATACGGGATGCTCTAATATGCTCTAATATCGGCTTGTGTGGATCTATTATCCGTTTTAAAGCCTTAATTCGCAATATCTAAAGGGAAGTGAGCCATGAAAGCCTCTATATCATCACATGGGGAATAAAGAGCGTTGAGGTGAACGCATCTGAGGCTCCGCTGTGGTCGTCTGACTTCCTGCTTCCTCTGCGTCTCCTCCAGCCTGTTTGGGAAGCCCTTTGATGGTGGGAAGAGGATGGACCATGGCGGCCCGCAGCAGCACCAGCATCCGACGGAGCAGCAGCAGCCGTATCACCAGCAGCACCCCGCCATGACGCGGCTGTACGAGGTGCACGGCGAGGTGGCGTCTCTGGGGCCCCAGGTGTGCACCTTCAGCGGCCTGCAGGACGACCGCGACTACAAGCGCCTGGAGCGCGAGCTGACGCGCCTGCTGCTGCAGGTGGACCAGGTGGACACGGAGGGCAAGCCCGAGCTGCAGGGGGCGCGGAAGAGAGCGGCGCAGGAGGTGGAGGGCCTCCTGCGCTACCTGGAGGAGAACGCCACCCACCCGTCCCGCGCCGTCATCGAGGAGGTGAGCGACGAGGCGCGGCAGCTGGTGGACGACCGCGTGGTGGCGCCGCAGCGGTCCGGCGGCACGGCCGAGATCAACGACGAGCTGGTGGACGCCCTGCAGGTGATGGTGCTGCGGCTCACCCAGGTCAAGACGGAGGGGAGGGTGCCGCTGCGCAAGGCGCGCTACCGGGCGCTGACGCGCCTCTGCGCCGTGCAGGACGTGATCGAGGGCCGCACGGAAGCAGCAAAACGCTTCTCGCTTGCCGTCTGCCCGGGGGAAACGCAACAAAGCCCGTGGAACCGCATCA